GGGCAGGACACAAAACAATGGCTCCAAGTTACATGAAAGGAGGTTCTGATGAAACATCAGGAAGAACTTTTCTGACAGCAAGAGACCATCAACAGTGCAACAGACTCCCTTGGGAGGTTTTGCACTCTCCTTCCTTGGAAGTTTGTAACTGGAGGTTGGATGGCCATCTGTCATGGATGCTTTAGTTGAGATTCCTGCATTGCAGAGAGTTAGACTAGATGACCCTTGGGGTCCCTTCCAAATTTACAATTCTAAGATTTTAGGAAAGGTCCTTACAACATAATGCAATTTAGTCCCATATGATTAAGCAATTATAAATAAATGAGTCTCCCCCCCTGAAAATAATACACTCAGATAAACTGGTTTGTGCAGATCTTTTGGGGTAACAACGGTCTACATCCAACTAAATTCTACTTAGGGAAGACACTTTGAAATTAATGTTTGGATTTTTAATTCATTTCAGTGAGTCTACTCCGAGGTAACCGTGTGTGAGAGAGATAAAGAGAGAGGGAGAGTGATATGTAAATTTACATAGGAGGGCAAACGAGGGATGAGAGCAAATGTAAAAAAGAATGGGACAGCGGCAAATTCCTGCACTGCAGAGGGTTGGACTAGATGATACTCAACAGGGTCCCTTCCAACTCTACAATACTATAATTCTAGGGGAAAGGAGCCAAAAGGGCAAAATCGCTTCCCAAAGGTGTTTTTTCAGGTGAGAAAGGATTTAAAGTGAGGCAGGAAACAGTTAAGTGGGGATATGTGAAAAGGTGGGAGGGGGCACAGAGAGAGGGGGGGAGAGAGTGAAGGAGGAAAGAGTCGCCCTGTTAATTTGTTTGCAACTTCAAAAACACAGGCCATTACTCAGGAAAAGAAACCCATGAATACCTGAGTGTAGGTGCTTAAAAGACACAGAGTGCGTGGCAGTGAAGGGAGAAGTGGCTTCGCGCAGCTCCCAAGTGCTGGTGGGATGGCTCGCTTTCCACTCTCACCTGCCTCTGCCTCCCGGCGGTGGCTTTAAGGGCAATGGCTAGCCCTGAGTGGGTTCAGGGGGCAGCGGCACAGGCACACGCTCCCCCACTGGTGGAGAGGGAGGGGGGAAAGCCCTGTGGCACTGCCAGTGCAATTCTGGCATGCTTCCTCTGACCTTAGGGGCAGAACATAGCTATGCTGACTCATCCATACGCTCTCCCCTACACAGCGAGTTCAGCCGTGTTTCATTTGTTGGCTGAACACCCCCCTTAGTGATGAAACCCGGGGCGGTCCGCACCCACCACCCACCCCCTTCCTACACCACTGCACACAGAGGTACAAACAGACCTAGCTTTATAGGGAACTACAGGCACACAGTTAGGTGCTGTGCATGCAGTCACACTCTCTGCAACAACACCTAGGCTACTTTTTTAAATCTTGAAAACTGTCTCTTCTGGAGGAGATTCACCCTTCTGCTCTTCCTCCTCCTCCTCACAACAAGTGGGATTTTAGCTTTCCTGAAAAGGCCCACTGAATTGGGGCAAGAATATATTGCAGCACCTTGGTTGCCAGAGGATAACATTGACATGACCCTTAGGTTTTTTTTTGAATTGCATAATCTTTAATCAGAATATAATCAGTACAACTTATGATTTTACTCATACTAGATAATATGTATTCAGAGCATTCTATATCATGAGTCTCATTGTAGAAAGGACCTCTGTATACTGCTGCTTAAAACGAGTAACTTCCAGCCATGGTTACTTCTTGGAAATGAATGAATGAATGAATGGTGCAATCCTACACCTGTCAATTCAGAAGTAAGTCTGAATGGGGGTTCAATGGGCTTACTTCCAGGTAAATGTATACAGATAGCATTAGTGCCTACATTTGTTAATTTCCCTCTTCATCCACCACATGTGATTCTGAGCCATTTTTTTCTGAAGAATTATCACATGGTCACAATGGAAAGGATTGTCAAAGCCTGCTGTGGTTTATAGTTGCCTGCTGCTGCTGCTTCTTCTTCTTCTGTAGAAAATACAGGCTGTGATACCTGCACCGATGAGGATGAAGATGACTGGGAGAACGACTTTCAAATATTTGCCGTGTGCAAATGCAGAGACATCTTCTTCTTGCACTGCCAATGAGAGAAAAGGTGTAGATATATACATACAAAACATTAAATACTTTACACTATGATAAGAAGGATGTCTGGGTGGTGTTTACTGCACCTAAGCACAGCGTGTTGTGAACTTGCAAACCATGAACATTGCCCCTTATTTGTAGGGAGGAAATGGGATGCAGAAGATATGTGGAGTCACAACCTGAGCATGTAAAGAAGCAGCTTTTATTCTACTCAAAGTAGAAACAGATTGACCCTCTTAAAAGAAAGGGCTATGAAGGAATGTAACCCCAAAGCTGTGGGACACTGCTGAGCAATTTCCATGTGTCCAAGCAATAGTGTATCTTCCCCCAGTAGTTTCAGCACTGTGGCTAAAAATGACAGCATTATTCTGTGCATGTGCCCGTGAAAGGAGAACCTAACCTCAGGTGTTCCGCCTCCCCACTTTTCACACGCAATACTATGGAATTTTCCAATAAATCAAAATCTCTCTCTCCCACTCTCCAACTCTTTCACTTCAAAGGAAAAGTTCTTTACCAGAAAGCAGGGCTGTCATTATTCCCCCCCCCACCCCCAGTAGCCTGCACAAACCTCCTGAGAGGAGGTTCAGCTGCTGATTACAGCCTGCCATTTTGCTACCAAAGACATGAATACAACCGGGGGAGGCAAGCCCACCAAGCCAAATGGCCACCAGTGGTTTGATGGTATTGGACAACACAGTCTTGTTGTGCTCAGGAGGGAGGAGTTGTTCACCATGCAGAGCGATGCCTTGATTAGAGAATTTGTTGTGGGCTGGATTAGCCTATGGATGGGGTCATCCATGCTGCACCAACCCTTCTAGTGTAGAGCAGTAGTTCATTCATCGTGGAATTCGATATTTGATGAGCGCTTTCAGTGCTGTTTTTGTTCTATGGGCTTGGACTTTCTAGTCATTGCTTTCTGTTCTAAAGCGATTTCTTCCTGCCATGTTACTTGCTGAAATTCAGGGGCATGACAATGGTTTTTTTATTTCAGCTGGCATTTCAAGGTAGGGTCTGTTGTTTATAATAATGGAATTTAACTGTATCTTCCCCCCCCCCCACCCCTGGTATGTTTTGTTTAGAATAGAAATTTTATGTACACCACTTAATATGCAGAATTTCTAAGCAGCATATAAATGTATGAAATTTATATTTTTAAAAAAATACTGACATTAGTAATACCAGTGAGGGGGTAGTGCCAGCTATCCAAGTAGAATGACCATGTGTCATTAATAGTCTTACCTGTACTGTTTGTAGGTGCTTTAGTTGTTTCGTCATTAACTGCAAAATAAAAAGAATAATCTTCAGATATTGGTATCTGAAGAAGTGTGCATGCACACGAAAGCTCATACCAAGAACTAACTTAGTTGGTCTTTAAGGTACTACTGGAAGGAATTTTTTTATTTTGAAAAATAAAAGACATGCTTAAGGTGTAATCATATACATTGTGCAAACCACAGAACTTCCTACTCAGCCCAGTAGGAAGATAGTTATGCAAGGGAATGTTGCTGCTGTTTAGCTCAAGAGTTCTGATCAGCAGGAAAGTGAACCAGTGGGAGTTTTGAGTGGAAGGAAACCTAAGCAACCTCTCTGCCAGCAGGTCTGGCCCCCACCCCCACTCCCCAGCGCAAGAATCCAGGTGTGGGCATTTGATTCACCAAAAGATGATTTGGCCCATTGGTCCTTCAAATGTTGTCAAACACTTAATGGTAAAGTATACTGTATTAAAAAAGGTAAAGGACCCCTGACAGTTAAGTCCAGTCGCAAACAACTCTGGGGTTGTGGCGCTCATCTCGCTTTACTGGCCGTATTAGTGCAACTTTATTTGAACAACAGCAAAAAAGCTGATTTTCAAATATTTGATTGCAATATCCACTTGGATATTAGGCAAGGTTTATCAAAATTGTAGGGAAAACTTTATATTTTTCAGGCTTTGGGCCTTGACATATCACAACATGAAAATAACTTAGCAATATATGCTAGACAGGGCTCTTCCTAACTTTGAAGTTTCAATCCAACACATTACTATTTAAAAATGAGAACCATTTGAAATGTTTATTGCATTCATGGCTTAAACAAGCCATCTTTGTGTTTCTCTACAAACGATTTAGAAACTCTCATCACTTTGGAACCTAAGTCTTACTGCCTGTCTTTTCTTACTGCTGTATGGAAAAGCACATGAATCTGGCCTTTGAAGTGTTTGTTAGTAAACCATTTTTAACCAGCCAAATGTGTGGTTTCTGTCTATGCTAAGGGAAGTGGGGAACTTTGGAAGCAACCTAAAAGAGGATATTTTAAAGGTCTAACAACCTAAATTTCAATGCTTCACTTCACTGCATATTTTGTGATTTTAAATCTCTGCTCTGGTGAGAGACACCAAAGCGTGCTTACCTCAAACCTGGATCTTAAGCATCCAGGGAACTCTCTTTCTCTTATACCTAGTGTTTTTTCCTTTAACCAAAATACAAAATACCAACAGTTTGTGCTAGAAAAGGAATGACTGACAGTTTGGAAAGAATGCTAAGAACTTGCTAGTAAGCATAGCAGGGGGTGGAAGGTTGTTAAACTGCTGAGGTAGGGGAAAGTCCGTTTTGTAGAATCACAGAAACACCTTCCTTCGAGAGCTTTGTGAAGAAGGAAGCAGATAAAGAGATAAGGCTAAACTTCTAGTACTATACAATGAATCAAGCGAGAGAGCACTTGGACAAGATCACCTTAAGACACTAACTGCAGTTCTATATAACTCAATATTCCCCTATTGTATTATATCAGAATTATGGCTAAAAGTTAGTTTAATAATAATTTATGACTTACTTTTGGGCGTTTTACATATAAATGACATATAATCGCGGCAATTCGTAGCCAACCATTTCCCATCATTGCTGTTCATGGCAATGCATTTCTGATCCCGAAAAGCTTGAGGATTGAATGCAGGTTCTTCGCCTCTCCAATTGACAAAACCCACTTGAGTTTTATCTTTCCACATCCATTCTCCTAATTATAAAAATATATAAATAGCAATATGACGGAAAGGAGAAGAGTAGCACCATGACTGTAAAACATACTATATGGAAACATGTTTTAAAATTACAGTGATCCTTTTTCCTCTTCACCTTTTTCAGTTTGGAGAATATGCAAGCTACTGCCATTATCGTATCAGAACACTGAATACACTAACAATAAGGGGAGAGTGCCTCTGATTTCTGACAGCACTCCCCCCCCCATATTTAGTACTATTTTGGATGGTTCTCTGCAGTGTTCTTTTCGGTTTAAAAAAAGGAGGGTCTGGTGCCATAGGTGCCAGCAGAAAATGGCTGCGAATGATAGCAAAAAAATGAAATAAGTAACAACACTCCATACCGTCAGGATCATCACAAGAAAATACTAGTTGTCTGGCTCACATGTGCAGACAACATAGAGGTGCCATGGTAAGTGGGAACATTGACACTGCTCCAGATCAAAGCCATTTTTTGAATTATTGTTTACTAGTAGAATGTGACCAGTGTTGCCAAGCAATTCAAAGAAACCTATAAATCACGGATTTTAAATAGACAGGGCAATTTGTTTTGTTATTAGGGCAGTGCAAATGTACACACAGTGATCCAACGTTCCCACCTGGCCTGGATATATTGGGGGATTGGGCTAATGTTAAATTAGGGTTTTTGAAAAGCCTCTCCTCCTTACAGAGGAGAGGAGTTGTGAGTGGGAGCCGTTTCCCACATTGGCAGGGAGTGTTCCAGCCCCTGCCCAGCTGCTGTGCCCCCAGGGAGCCAACCAATCAGGTGGAGGCTTGGGGGCGGGGTTTAGCCGCTCAAATGCGGCCGCGGCAGCGCTTCCGTTTCATTGCATCGCTGGTTTTTGAAAACCTTTATGGTCAGGAGGCGGGCAGGGAAAAGAGATGCTGCATCACATTTCCTCCTCCCAGTTATTTCATGTTACATTAAAAAGTTGGAAAGAATGTGAGTATTGAAGACAGCAGGGAAGGGAATGCCAGTGTTTTTCCATAGGGCTTGAGATGGAGGTTAGCTGTAAATTTCCAATGCAACGGTGTAGCGATCTAATTCTTTACAGTTTATCACATGCAGTCATGAGACAGGGGTGGGGTTACAGGAAGTTTGCATATGTTAATTGAGCAGCATCCTCCATTTTAACACCACATAGTCCTTTGTTCTCAACTGCTGAGAAGAACCAATGTGAAATGGGGGTGAAAAAGGGAGCTATGATTTTTAGGCTCAAATCCATTTCAATCGGGGTTTAGGTCTGGTTTTGGCACAGAAACTGCTTTGGTCTCCCTGTATGATGACTTTTGTCAAGAGAGAGAGGGGGGAAACGCGCCCTTGTTAATTCTCCTCCTCTTCTCAGCAGCTTTTGATATCATGGCCATTCTATCCTTCTGGAGTGGCTGTACAAATTAGGGGTGGATGGCACTGTGTTGAGGTGGTACTGGTTCTACTTGGATGGCCACTCCCAGAGAGTGATGCTTGGCGAATGCTTTTTAGCTCCATGGAGATAGTGACATTTCGGACCACCATTTTGATTCAAAATAGTGTCTGGCATTCCAACATCAATGAAATCTGTCACCCCGAACCTCAGGAATCCTCATGCCAAGTTTGGCAATGATCTCTTGAGAGATGCCTGAACCTACGGGGGACCAAAGGAGAAGCCACTTCCCAAAATATGTAGTAATTATAAATTTTATTTTCCCAATATGCCTAGTGGGACATCTGGGATGGAACTTCAAGTAATGGCAGAGCCATAAATCAAGCTGAAAGAGATGTGGTTAGGGGCAGGGCTTCATTATTTGAAAGCATAGTCAGGGGTCAGCAAACTTTTTCCACAAGGCGCTGGTCCACTGTCCGTCAGACCTTGTGGGGGGCCGGACTATGTTTTGGAAAAAAACAACCCCCTCCCACAACTCTCCCCTCCCTTCTTCACAGCACCGGATGAGCTGCTTACCTGTGCCTTGCGAGCAGCAGGGGCTGGTGGTGGTGGTGGGGTGATGAGCTGCACGAAAGGGCTGATTCCAGAGAGGGGCTGCTTAAAATGGTGCACAGCTGGCTCAGCCCAGCCCCCTTCCTCCTCTAGGCAGGGCAGGGAGAAGCCAGGAGGAGGGAGGGAGGAGGCGCCGCCACGGTATGTGTGAGGGGGTGGGGAATGGGGCAGCCTGAACAATCAGAATCCCCACGCCGATTCACGCAGCAATTCCCGGACCGTCTGTGGGCCGGATCCAGAAGGCAATTGGGCTAGCCCCAGCCCCTGGGCCTTAGTTTGCCGACCCATGGCATAGATGTTTCCTATACTACTGTTTACCATCTAGTTGATGAATTCTCAGATAATGGGTGAGCGATTTCCTTTTTCCTGAATGCTTGCCAAGAAGATGCAAGCACCATTCACTTACAACCAACAGCTTTTGCTGCTGAGCTCTTTTACGTCCAAACTCCCCCCTCCAAATGAAATGTGTGTCATATTTGAGGACACTTTTGAATAAATACAGATAATACATTTATTATGTATATAAATATTGAGTGTTAAACAATTACCATCTATATTTTTGAACAATCCAATCCAAAATTTTCCTTGTTGAATTGCCGAGTGTACTCCAACAAAAAATCCAGTTCAGCTAAATCTTCTATTGAAGCCAAGGTGCCACCTAGGAAATATACCACAGGAATAACGTAAACTCATTAAAAAGTTATCTTCTCCTTGAAAAAGACTGCCTAACAAGATAAGACCAAGGAATCACTATCCAGCACTGGCAGCAATATGAAGTTCTGAATACTTTAGAGAAAAAATATATATCTTTCTTTCAAATGATTGTGACTGCTATTCTATTGCATAATTTCTATTGGAGAAGGATAATTGTAACCTACCCATTTGTAGAAAATAATAATTAACAGTTAAAGAAAATCACTTAATCAAAAATTCAATAGAAATGTCATTTTTACAAATCACATGGTTCACAAAAATCCTGAGCTCCAGTACTGAAAACGTTTTTCACACATAAAAGGGGAAAAAATCACCTCAGTTCTCTGGAAGAGAAAGATGATACCCTTTCAAAGTATTTATATTAATGGGGTGCCTGTGTGACTTTGATGTCATGTTTGCTGAGTAGGAGGAACTCAGATTAACCCATTCTTATATCAAATAGAAACTGAAATTGACCAATTCTATGAAGACTTACAAGACCTTATAGAAGTGACACCAAAGAAGGATGTTCTGCTCATAATAGGGGATTGGAATGCTAAAGTAGGGAGTCAAGAGATAAAAGGAACAACTGGCAAGTTTGGCCTTGGAGTTCAAAATGAAGCAGGGCAAAGGCTAATAGAGTTCTGTCAAGAGAACAAGCTGGTCATCACAAACACTCTTTTCCAACAACACAAGAGACGACTCTACACATGGACATCACCAGATGGGCAGCATCGAAATCAGATTGATTATATTCTCTGCAGCCAAAGATGGAGAAGCTCTATACAGTCAGCAAAAACAAGACCTGGAGCTGACTGTGGCTCAGATCATCAGCTTCTTATAGCAAAATTCAAGCTTAAACTGAAGAAAGTAGGAAAAACCACTGGGCCGGTAAGATACAATCTAAGTCAAACCCCTTATGAATACACAGTGGAAGTGAGGAACAGGTTTAAGGATTTAGATTTGGTGGACAGAGTGCCTGAAGAACTATGGATGGAGGCTCGTAACATTATACAAGAGGCAGCAACTAAAACCATCCCAATGAAAAGGAAATGCAAGAAAGCAAAGTGGCTGTCCAACGAGGCCTTACAAATAGCGGGGGAGAGAAGGCAAGCAAAATGCGAGGGAGATAGTGAAAGATACAGGAAATTGAATGCAGATTTCCAAAAAATAGCAAGGAGAGACAAGAAGGCCTTCTTAAACGAGCAATGCAAAGAAATAGAGGAAAACAATAGAATGGGAAAAACCAGAGATCTGTTCAAGAAAATTGGAGATATGAAAGGAACATTTTGTACAAAGATTTCCATAATAAAAGACAAAAGTGGAAAGGACCTAACAGAAGCAGAAGACATCAAGAAGAGGTGGCAAGAATACACAGAGGAACTATACCAGAAAGAAATTGATGTCTTGTATACCGTGGTTGCTGACCTTGAGCCAGACATCCTGGAAAGTGAAGTCAAATGGGCCTTAGAAAGCATCGCTAATAACAAGGCCAGTGGAAGTGATGATATTCCAGCTGAATTATTTAAAATTTTAAAAGATGATGCTGTTAAGGTGCTACACTCAATATGCCAGCAAATTTGGAAAACTCAGCAGTGGCCAGAGGATTGGAGAAGATCAGTCTACATCCCAATCCCAAAGAAGGGAAGTGCCAAAGAATGCTCCAACTACCGCACAATTGCACTCATTTCACACGCTAGCAAGGTTATGCTTAAAATTCTACAAGGCAGGTTTAAGCAGTATGTGGACCGAGAACTCCCAGAAGTGCAAGCTGGATTTAGAAGAGGCAGAGGAACCAGAGACCAAATTGCAAACATGCGCTGGATTATGGAGAAAGCTAGAGAGTTCCAGAAAGACATCTACTTCTGCTTCATTGACTATGCAAAAGCCTTTGACTGTGTCGACCACAGCAAACTATGGCAAGTTCTTAAAGAAATGGGAGTGCCTGATCACCTCATCTGTCTCCTGAGAAATCTCTATGTGGGACAAGAAGCTACAGTTAGAACTGGATATGGAACAACTGATTGGTTCAAAATTGGGAAAGGAGTACGACAAGGCTGTATACTGTCCCCCTGCTTATTTAACTTATATGCAGAATTCATCATGCGAAAGGCTGGGCTGGATGAATCCCAAGCCGGAATTAAGATTGCCGGAAGAAATATCAACAACCTCAGATATGCAGATGACACAACCTTGATGGCAGAAAGTGAGGAGGAATTAAAGAACCTTTTAATGAGGGTGAAAGAGGAGAGCGCAAAATATGGTCTGAAGCTCAACATCAAAAAAACGAAGATCATGGCCACTGGTCCCATCACCTCCTGGCAAATAGAAGGGGAAGAAATGGAGGCAGTGAGAGATTTTATTTTCTTGGGCTCCATGATCACTGCAGATGGTGACAGCAGTCACGAAATTAAAAGACGCCTGCTCCTTGGGAGAAAGGCGATGGCAAATCTAGACAACATCTTAAAAAGTAGAGACATCACCTTACCAACAAAGGTCCGTATAGTTAAAGCCATGGTTTTCCCAGTAGTGATGTATGGAAGTGAGAGCTGGACCATAAAGAAGGCTGATCGCCGAAGAATTGATGCTTTTGAATTATGGTGCTGGAGGAGACTCTTGAGAGTCCCATGGACTGCAAGAAGATCAAACGCATCCATTCTTAAGGAAATCAGACCTGAGTGCTCACTGGAAGGACAGATCGTGAAGTTGAGGCTCCAATACTTTGGCCACCTCATGAGAAGAGAAGACTCCCTGGAAAAGACCCTGATGTTGGGAAAGATGGAGGGCACTAGGAGAAGGGGACGACAGAGGATGAGATGGTTGGATAGTGTTCTCGAAGCTACAAACATGAGCCTGACCAAACTGCGGGAGGCAGTGGAAGACAGGAGTGCCTGGCGTGCTCTGGTCCATGGGGTCACGAAGAGTCGGACACGACTAAACGACTAAACAACAACAACAACAATATCAAATAGAATTTGTTGCGATTTGGTCGATCAGTTTGAAACAGGATACAAGTTTTCTTCAGAGAAATATAGCAGCAGCAGCAGAAATAGTAGTATATTCAGCAATATGAACTGGTGGAGATGGATGGATGGATGGATGGATGCAACTGGCAGATGATTGGCTGAGGTTCCACTTAGAACTGACACAGCCTAATTTAAAACATCTGTACAGGTAGCCCTTTCATTTCTAGACGCATTTCAAGGTGATCCCATTTGTGTTAAAAACCCTAAATAGTGCAGGCCTCAGGTATCGGAAACTGATCTCTTCAGTATAAATACTCTCAGATTGCCCTCTTGGTAATTCCACTGGCCTTGGAAGTGCAAGGAATGGCAGCCCAACAGAGAGCAGCTGAAGAGATGTTGCTTCTTTGATGAATGGAGTCAGAGAGAGAAAAGCCAAAGAGGAAGTGTGCTCCCTGCCTTGCCCTTTTTGTTACATGGGCAGGTAAGGCAACGCCCACCTCTAGTCACATGCAGAGGAAGTTTGTCCCCTTGTATGCCCACTCTAGGAATGTTGTACTTGACAGCTATGTGTTTTACATCCCACAAATCTCAAGGCTGGTTTTAACTTTGTATTGTTGTAACCTGACCTGGGAACTTACGCTGAAGGACAGGTAAGACCTCCACAATATGACAACAAGAATTGAATGGTGCCACACTGGCAGAACAATGCCAGGTTTGACAGGGCCCTCTGCAGCTCTTGCCAGTCTGTTCTTGGCAACAGTGATGTCCCCTGGTAGGCATGGTGAAGTGGCAAAGGCCCTGTCCAGGGCAGTGAAGGCACAGATGATGAAGACTCCTTCCCAGGTAGGGCTAACTCTGTTTGCTTGAGCTCTCCTCTGCTTTCCTTTTGCCCCTGGCCCATCTTTCCTTCATTGTGTGCCGCCAGTGGCAAAAAGTCAGTGTATCAGGAAAGCACTATTTAAATTCTCCCACGGGGCTTCTGTGGCCCCAGGGAAGGAACATTCTATCTGGGCCCAGAGGCATTATGGAGGAATCAAAAGGTGAGCCACGGCAACAGGGGTTTTTGGCTGCACCAACAATGCTTTGGGATTGGGCAAGGAGAGGAAGACTGGCTGGTGTTCAAGGGAACTCAGGCCATCAGCGAATGGTTGTTGGTGCTGATCCCTGATACCAGGTCTGTAACACATTATTCTCAGTATTATTTTGATAATAAAGCTTTTTATTATTGGATTGTGCCAGAAAGAAAGAATTTCCTGCATGCCATGGGCTGTACCATTTTTCTTCCTACCATTCTCATTTGTAAAACAATTCCTTTTTCAAAATGACACTCACCAAAATAAGAACATCTGAAGGCCGTTTGCCACCAAGGTTCCCAAGCAGGGTAGAATTTATAGCAATGAGCCCGAAAAGGAACCCAAGCTCTCCCGTCATCTTCTGGTGGAGGAGGGCATTTTCCTGGCAGCTGTGGTGCCTCCGTTGGGAATGCACCTGTTATAAAGCAAGTGGTTTTCTTTTAAAAAAATAAAGGCATCTTAGAAACCTAGAAATACAAGGGGAGTGCTTAAGGTTTAGACAGGTCCTGAGTCATGAGGCAAAGCATGATACCCATTTGGCTTATAAAAGGGGATATTGGATCTGTACAAGTTCGCACACTGTGCCACGGTGGACCCCACTGTGCCACGGCAAGCCAAACATTTAAAGAAACTGCTGCAGACAGGTGCCTGTTGAAATCAAAATTACCTTTAGCATACCAGATGATGGGAGAAGGGAGAGCAAACACCAGAGAGATGTGGAGACAAGGAGAGGGAGCTCTGCTGTGATTGACAGGTCAAGCTTTTAATCAGAGGGAATGATTTTACATAGAAAGCCAACCACAAAATCTAAATACTTATTTTTATTTCTTTAATCAAAAACGTATGATTCCATAACATATAGGAACTAAAGAAACAAAGAAGAAAATACAATGGAAGAGAATTTAAAATTAAATTCACACACACACAAAATTAGGTTGTTGCAGCCACAATCAATCAATCAATCAATCAATCAAATGCATAGGAAGGTAGTAACGTGTTGTTTTTGTTTGTAAGTATCAGCATGTTGTCCTTGGGTGTTTTATGCTATTCTCACTTGAAGCTGAACGATTCCTAAGAATTCCAAGTTCTGATGTATTTCACTGGAGGCATTTCAACAATAAGTCATCATATATAGTGTTGGAAATTAATCTCTCCCCCCCCCCCCCGTTTGTCTTGCACTATGAAAGAATATGGAGCAAGCTGCCTGTGAAAACAATTTCAGCAAGGGTGGAAGAATCCTTTCTTAAAATAATTTTGAGGTGTCATTACACCACCAGTGATCTTATCACATATAAACTCCCAATCTCTTCCCAAAGTGCTGGAGCTGCAAAAACAGCAACATAAAGGCACATATTTCCACCTATGGTGGGAGTGGTAGATGGTGTTCCTATAAAAGGAACTGAACAATATCTATATAGATAGCAACACACTGGGCGAAAGTGATTTCTGTGTTCAGAATTGTATACTCCAAAATCAGAATAAACTGTTTTATCAAGATGCTATCAGATCAGTGTCTAGAGTACGGTTCTCAGCTCTGTGTTGAAATGGAGACCTTATTGGAATTAGAGTGCTGTGCCCCACATTAAAAGAGAGATATTTCTTTGCTTACCGTGATGCTGCTCACAGATAAATAAGTATGTTTCATTGCAAGTTCCTGTTTTCCAATGACCCTCAAGGTCCATGAAGACACAGGCTATTTTGTGCTTTGGCTCTTCAGGTGCCCAGTTAGTATACATCAGTCTCCGGTTGTTTATCCATGTGTACTGCTCACCATTCTAATGCACATTGGAACAACACATGCTGGTTGTAGTTTATTTCCCATAACATGAGCTCCACATCATCTCCACACACCCCTTTCATTTTATTTACAGAAACACAATCAGGTGATGAATTCTGGGTACTGCTATAGCTATGACAACTGAAGGCATCCCTGTGCTGTTTAATATCTATTGGAAAAACCCTTGGGAGATGTCATCTGGAGATCTGAAGCATGGTGTCATGGGTATGCTGATGACACATAACTCTATCCGCTCCATCTGAATCTGGAGAAGCCAGGAAGGTTTTGGACAGGGGTCTGGAAGCAATCAAAGGCTAGATGGGCTCTAGTCATCCAGTTATATCTGTTCCTGAACTGAGATAGTTGGGCCTTAGTTGTCCATGCTCTGGTGTCTCTCACCTGAGCTGCTCCAAAGTGCTTTATGTGGGTCTTGCCTTGAAGATGACCTAGAGGCTACAACTACTGCAGAATACAGCTGCTGGATTCGTAAGTGGGACAGCCCAATGTGACCCTGTGTCACCAATTATTGAGAAATTGCTTAGACTAGCTCATGCTCTGACTCTTCTTGACAGAATGAGGCCTCTTTGGGTTAGTGAACATATATAATTGACTGAGATATGGCAAGTATTCCTGTTCTGTCCCAACTGGGCATTGTGTTACATATATTGCTCCCTAATCACTGTGTTTAGACTGTTGGCAACTGATCAAGTCTTGTTATCTGATGCCTTGCATTGATTAGTTGTACTATATCTAGCTGTGAGGTGCCTTGAGTCCCTATCAGGGAAAAGGGTAGGATATAATAATAATAATAATAATAATAATAATAATAATAATAATAATAATAATTATTTCTGAAAACACTGCATTGGCTGCTAGTGACCTACCAGGCCCTATTATTATTAAAAAATTGTACACCGCCATATACCTGCAGGTCTCCAGGTCTTTGTACTAGCACACAAAGCCCTACATGGCTTGCAACCCTGGGCTCCATTGGAAAGAAGAACTAGATTTAAATTTATGCCGATGATAATAATGATGATTAATGATGCAGGGAGGATGTGCAGGGAGGATGAGGGGGTGGGTGGATAAAGGGAGGGCGGTTGGTCGAATGTGGGGAGAGAGTGGTTGCCAAAAGGGTAGGTGGGGTTGGCAAGTGCAGTGAGCAGTGAGCAGGGGCAGCCCCTAGTTTTGAATAAAGTCAGCTAACGAAAGCCCTGTGCTTTCTAACTATGTCCTTCTGAATACAAACCCTTGGAGTGAAAAAGTAGTATTATGTTAACGTACATTGCACGTTCTTACCGTGTTGCTAGTTAGACCAATCCACACAGGCTCTCCATATTTCAACACCTTTAGCCATAGGAATGATTCAATGTAGGGATTCCAAATGCTGGCAAGCTCTGACTGTTCAGAATTGCATTTTTTCCTGGCGTCTTCCCATGTCATTTTGTTGCCAATGAAAAAGTAACTGCTATTCCCAAAATGGAAATAGCCTGAGGCTGGAATTGTTGTTTCAAAGTATGGTAATGCGGGATCTATGGCAAAAACAAAAAGCCAGAGATTGTTCTAGACTGCATATATTCCTAAAATTTGATTTCATTTCATACTGAAATATCTGAACATTATTATCTCCCAAGATTTAACATCTGAAAGTACTAACAATTTGCAGAGAAACATTAAAACCAACATGTTAGTCAAACTCTGTTCTTTACAGCTACAAAAGAAGCATATCAAATTCCTAAGAAGCAGCCAGCAGACCTACTTGAAACACATTCATTTCTTTTCAGAGAAGTCAAGTGACTATTCTTCAATTAGTTTCCTAGCCACCATCATTCGTGGATGATAAAAATTTCTGTTTCTGTTCTGGTAATTTCTGTCCAAAAACAGACCTCGGAGGGTGGCTGTACTCATGGGGGTCTATTCTTCTTCTTAAAATGAAAGTGCATTGTTCAGGGGGCAGGCTGTCACTTGCAACATGGCTAGATATTATGACACTAAAAAGAACTAAAAGAATCAATATGGCTAACTTAACCCAACAGACAATCTACCCAAGTGACGCTGACACAAAACCCCCATGTGCATCTGCTTTTGTAAACAATGAAAATCTTTAATAAAAATTGTTTTAAAAAGAAATAGATCTAAACTTTTTTCCAGCAGCCTCCTTCTGTCCTATTTTGGGGATGGTATAGTGAAAAGTCAAGTCCCATATCAGGAAGTGTACAACTGAGGTTTCTTTGACACCAGGGTTCATCTCTGTATATCTATAAAATATTGTTGTCACGATTGCATTCTTTTCTTTATACAGTAAAATACAAAATCTCTAATACTGGAAATCTAATTTTGTTTTTTGACAAAATGATATGGCACAGAAAACAGGCTTTGGACTCTAGAAAGCAATCTGAACTGCAAAATATTTTTTGTTTTTTCTCTTCTAAAAACGTACCAGAGTTTCTTTGGCAGATGTAGCTTTTCCTGGCAGAACATGGTCCATCTCTCCACTTTCCTCCTGAATTTCCAGTCCTCTTAATAATAAAAACACAGTCTCCCTAAGGAATTAAAACATAAAAATCAAATAAGACAAGTGCCATCAATTTGCGCAGGAGGCAATTCTTTTATCCTAGATCAAGCATAGGCAAACTCAGTCCTCCAGATGTTTTGGGACTACCACTCCCATCACCCCTAGCTATCAGGACCAGTGGTCAGGGATTGTGGGAATTGTAGTTCCAAAACATCTGGAGGGCTGAGCTTGCCTATGCCTGTTGTAGATTGTGCTTAAAAGCCCTCCTTTTGTACTTCTCAAATTCGATGAAAGCAGTACCGTATCCTTTTAGAACCAAGTTTGAAGATGAATATTTGTCGCTTCTCACCAGTGTCCTACCCAATCCAGCCAAGAAACAGCCTCCACCATTGAATGAAATCTCTAAGGAGGTGCTGGCCCCAGTGTGTCCTGGGATGAAGAGGAATTAGTGGAGCCTGACATATAACCTGAGATTACCACCACTCAGGGCACCTGTAAAATCAGAGTACCTGCTAAAATCTATCAGATTGCACAGCCTAGCACCTGACTCCACAATTACCTGTGTGATTCCAAGATCAGATGGTGCAAAGTCCACACCAAAGCCCCAACTAAAGGTGTAGCATTTGTTTGGCAACACAAAACGTCTTGTCTCTGGAACCTACTCAGGAGTAGGCATCAGTAACTGATGCATGCTCTGGATCAAGGGCCACCTGATGTTTACAGGAAGTAGATTAGGTAGCAGAGCCAGCTATAAAACTGTTCACATGATGCCCAACTCTTCCTGGTACAACACTTTCCCCAACTAGCTGCTTGGCTTGAGATGCCTGTTCTTGCTAACTGGCTGCATAGCTCCCTTTGCTGTTTCTGCACTTCTGCCCTGCTTTTCAGTTCCGGTACTGGAAGGCATAGTACATTACCACTAAGTACCCCTCCCCACAATGACATCAGCTGATAAGGTCACTTGACAATCCGCTGATTGACAGCACTTCAAAAGTCCAGCCAGATAAGAGGGCTTGGCAGGCCTACTTAGGCTTGCAGAAAAACCTTCCCCACAGCTGTTCTAAAGAAAGGTGTGAGCATCAAACTGGAGTAATAACAGTGGGTGGTCTCCTAATAACTCATCCTATCAGTACAAGGATTTCTGCTTGCACAATGGGATTTCCCCCTTCCCTTGGATACACCTCATGCCCTACCCAAATCTGCTTCAGAGGGTTGGGGGAACCCCTAGAATATATGGTATTTAGAGGGTGCAGAAGGTGAGGAGATGGGGTGGGAGAGATTGGTCTTTGCATACAACTAAGTCCTAGTAAGCCGAGATAGAAAAAGTCATTGCTGGACAGAGGCAGTGCCTGATTTACTGGCCAGTGGATCAAGGAAGATGTGTAACATACAGTGGTGCCTCGCAAGACGAAAAGAATCCGTTCTGTGATTCTCTTCGTCTAGCGGTTTTTTCGTCTTGCGAAGCAAGCCCATTGACAGATTAGCAGATTAGCGGTATTAGCGCTATTAGCGGCTTTTAGCGGCTTATCAGCTTATCGGATCAGCTGATAAGCGGCTTAGCAGCTTAGAAAAAGGGGGGGAGGGGAAAAAACCCGCAGGAACTCGCAAGACATTTTCATCTTGCGAAGCAAGCCCATAGGAGATTCGTTTTGCGAAGCACCTCCAAAACGGTAAACCCTTTTGTCTAGCGAGTTTTCCATCTTGCGAGGCATTCGTCTTGCGGGGCACCACTGTAATGGGTGAGATGCCTTTCAGAATTTTCTTAATTCCCAAGCACACAAGGGGATGTACAATTGAAGTGAATGGCACTGCTGCTGTGGGAAGGAAATAATTCAGTCTAACTAAGAAATGGAGCATTGGCAGATTATATTTAAGTCCTTAACTCGTTGGCAAAATTCAGACAGAATAAAAGCAGCAGAGTTGAGAGAAAAATTGCAACTCTGAAGAATATAACTGGCTTTAAGTCAAAATTGTCAGAGGCTCCTCAGAACATGCTGCCGACCTTGGATGCTTCCTATATATTTTATCAATTATGTAATGTATCTATTTGTTAAATTTCTATTCCACACTTCTTCTGGAGTATTTTTGGAGTGGCTCACAACAATTTAAACTACAGTAAACTGAACAATAAAGAGTAAAATGAGGATTAACAATCATAATACCAATCCACGTATTAAATATCAAAACATGGCCAGCTAACCTTGCAAGATTGGCATGGGAAGACTGGTACATTAATGGAGTGATAACGCTGAGAAGGCACTCTGAATATATATAATTTTACTGCAGGAATGGAAAATAGGGAACATTTCTTGTATCTGAAAAAAATAAAGATGAAAGCCTTTGCAGGCAGGACTTACATAACTTGGAAAACCACTGGCCCAGTTTGTATAGTAGACCTCACTTCCATCTGTCCATAGAAAACTCTCTTCCCTAATAATATCGTTCAGTCCAATCCATGGATCAATTGAGGCACTTTCTAAGTGCACCATGAAAAATGCTGAATAAAAACAAGGACATCTTTCATCATAAAGAATTTGGTAAATACTCTCCCTCACTTATAAGTAATCAATATAGGATACCATGAACTGATCTAGTTATATTTTATGTTCGTTGTTTTGTTTTGTTTTTTAAAATTGTGTCATGCAGAAGTTGCCACTATGGTCCACTTCAGATCTTACTATACTGCATCTTTTTAAAAAACAAAAACATTTTAAACTTGTTTTTCTTACAGAGAAAAACTATATCTTCCATCATTCCTGAACATTCTCTTTATGCAACAAAATATTGCAGATGCAAAATTGGCTATCCCTGCTTTAAAAAGGACCACATAATCCAGCTCATTACATTTTTGCCTGGAAAAAACACAAACAGGCTATGATTACAATAAACATCCCTTGTTTTCACTCCGCTTAGGAAGGGCTCCTTTCTCCTGGGCCTTGTTCAGAAAGTGGTGGTGGAGGATGAGTGTTCAGACCCCTGGGCTTGGGAAACCCAGCCAGATGGGCGGGGTAGAAACAACAAATGATTATTATTGAGTCAACATTAAGTCTATGTGAGCAACATGTTCTAAAAGAACCGACTGTACCTTGTGTAGCTTTGTTCGGTATAGTTGCCAGATTTCCTCCTAGATTTCTGCAAGCAGTTCGTGCATCGGACCAGTTTTTCCTTTCTTCTTCATTCAAGCCAAAAAACTGGAAGCACTGCTCCAAAATTCCATCAATTATGAAATGGTTAGTGAACTCAACCATCATGAGATGGTACTGGGTTGCAGACATGGATATTTCAACTTGGCTTTAGAGAGAAATCCCAACCCTCAGATTCATGGACTTGACAGAGATTCAGATTGTGTGGAGGATGTGGTGTAGTTAATTTCTTCATATAGAAGCCAGGAACTAATAAAAAGTTAACCAACACAGTGGAAAATAGAGGTGGGGGGAATTTACCCAGTTCCTGCTCTGACCCTCCACAAGCCTGCAAAGGTTTTTAAATGGTAGATCATACACTACTTTACTTCTCCAACCCAGTCACTGCTCACTGGCTCCTCTTCAGGCAGAAAATAGCTCCGCCCCCCCCCCGGAGATTGTCATTTAATAAACAATAACATAACCAAATGCTGAAAATTTAGTCTGAAGACAAATTCACTGCTCTTTTGGGTAGCTGACCCATAATCAAGCTTTTAAGATACCACTTTTAAAAAACATATTTCATTGTTCCCGACACTTCTATTGTGCAACGCAATAGACTTTCTAGTATGTACAAAGATACATACATGGGGTGGTGGCGTGGAGAGATGTGGTATCATGGTGGCTTAACGCCTGAGCTAGGTGCACATTCATTTTGAACCTCTATAAAGAGCCCTTGCATAGAAGTGTGGACATGGAGAACAATCTCTTCATATTCACAAGCTCTGGGAAAACATTGTATGTGCTATAATAACTGAAAAGGGGTAATATACCAGTATATTTGCAATCACTTTCTTAGTTACCTTTTTATCAAAGAAAAGCCAGCCATCAGCACAGCCCCCAACAGGTGCAGGCGTTGTGGGAGCAGGAGTTGAACGGACAGAACTGTTATGCCTTTCACAGATGAATCTGTTCTTAGTACCACAGTTTATGTCGTACCATAAGCCTGAATAAAGAAGTTAGGTGTTCATCAGTAAGATGAAATCACTCCCAAATGAAGAATGACCATTTTTTACCTGTACAGGGGATTGTCGAACACATAATAAGATGAAAGTGGAAGTCAAGCTTCACTTAGTGGTTGCTGGCAAAATCGCTACTCCTGCTGCAAACTAAAAACATGCACAAAAAACCCTCCCTCCTAGTAGAGATCTCATATGTCCTCTTTTTCCAGGACATGTACTCCTTTTCATGGGTTTGTAAAATGGGAGTCATCATAGTGATCCACAGTTAAAAGTAGAAGTTAGCAAATGTGTCCTCTTTTTCGCTCTTTAAAATATAAGAGACTGAAAAAGGCACAAAGATAGCACAACCAGAACAACAAACACTCTGTCAAACAATAAACAACAAGTAAAAACTAGAAAATAGGTCAGGCATACTAGAAAAAAATCCTCCACAAGCTGAGGCAGCCCAAGACCTACAGTGTGGGACCTGAGTTCATCTTATTACATGCACAGAAATCCCCTATACAGGTAAGAAATCGTTCTCTGCCCCCGCTATGCATGTAGAGATGGCCTCAGCACTATGCTGTAAGTGATTGTTCCAATCTAATTTACCCAAGCTGCAAGGTCCACAAACACTGATATCAAGGGAATGCTAGTCTCTTTCAGAAAGACAAACAGGAGGAGAGAAGGAGGTAAGAACTGAGTTCCTGCTGGCAGTGTAAAGGTGGCAAACCTTAGGGAGAAAGGAAGAAATAATTCAGACTGTTACACTGTCCTTGTGGAACACATGAAGGTTTTTGAGCTCTGAGATCCATTGAGCAAAGGTGAATGCCACTAGGAAGAGCACTCTTGAGAGTAGATGAAGAGAAGCAGACTTCCATGAGGGAAATCTATGTTGTGTGGAGGTGACTTCAGGATGGCCCCACTATGAAACTGTCTGAGGAAAGGATGAGATCCCACTGGCTTGTTCAGATCCTTAGAAACAATGGCAGCACAGATGCCTGGTGGTTAGGCATGTTAGGCCGCAGCCTCAAAATAAGACCTTCTTGCAAGTAGGGCAGCAGGGATGAAATACCAGCCTTTTAAGGGACAGTGTGGTGTTTCCAACCCCAGTCAGAAAAGACTTTCCATGTCCTCAGAATACTTTGGTTGTAGAAGATAACCTAGAAGCAAACATAATCTCAACTGCTGATGAGCCAGTCCCAGTTTGACAAGTTGCTCTTGTTTCATTGCCAAAAATCTTAATTTCACATGGGATCTGAACTGGTGGTGACTGATGAGGAACGAGACCATGGGTCCTAATGGATTCCTTGAAGAAGATGTCAGCCAAGTGTTCAGCAGCTGGGCGGAAGGCAAACTCGCTGCTAGGGATCATTAGGAAAGGAATTGAAAATAACACTGCGATTGTGACGCCATTCTACGTACAACTTCGTGGAGCAGCTGCATTTAGAATACTGTGTATTGCTGTCATCACTTTACTTCAAAAAGGATATTGTAGAGTTGGAGAAGGTTCAGAAAAGGGCAACCAAAATAATAAAGTGAATGAAGCAACTTCCCTAAGAGGAAAGATTACAATATTTGGTGGGAGGTATTCAAGAAAAAGCAAGTAAGAGGTGACACAATACAAGTGCATTATATTATGCATGGCAGGAAGAAAGTGGACAGAGAAAAGTCCTGTCCCTCCCATAGTACTAGAGCTCATAGACACGCAATGAAACCAAAAGCTGGAATAATCAGGAGAGACAAAACAATGTACTTCTTCACACAGTGCATGGAATTTGCTCCAGTATGAGGCAGTGATGACTACAAACTCAACAAATGAATGGAGGACAAGGCTGGTCACTGCCTACTTAACCCCCATCCACAGTCAGAGGCAATATGCTTCTGAATACCAGTTTCTGGATACTGCAGGAAGGCAGCCTGCTATTGTGCTCAGGTCCTGCCTACAGGCTTCCTATGGGCATCTGGTTGGCCACAGCACTAACAGCATGCTAGATTAGATGGGTCACTGGTCTAATGCAGCAGGGAAGAAGAAGAAGAAGAAGAAGAAGAAGAAGAAGAAGAAGAAGAAGAAGAAGAAGAAGAGGAGGAGGAGGAGGAGGAGGAGGAGGAGAGTTTGGACTCAATATTCCGCCTTTCACTCCCCTTAAGGAGTCTCAAAGTGTCCAACAATCTCCTTTCCCTTCCTCCCCCACAACAAAAGTGTGACTAGTCCAAGGTAATCCAGCAGCTGCATGTAGAGGAGCGGGGAATTGAATCCGGTTCACCAGATTACAAGTCCACCATTCTTAACCACCACAATACGCTGGCAAGTATTACGTTGTTCTGTGTGTGAACTGAGGCGAGCAAATGCATTAATGAAAGTAGTGATCCACATATATTTTAGTGCCCTAGTGTGGACACACCCAAAATGTCCTCTGAAACATTTTGATATTATGAGATATTCAAAGGAAGACAATTAGAAATGCAAAATAATATTATTCCATCCACCCACATCTTCAATGGGCCAGAATAGTTATTGTGATGTGACACGGGTTTATTTTAGTTTATTTTAATTAATCAGTTGCCCCACAATTGATTATATATGCACCCCCTTTTAAAAGTTGTAATCTTTTATTCTACTTGCCTGAATCACGATTCATGTAGACACAGGTTTCTTCATCATTTGAAAAGTTGGGTTCATTGGGTGCCCACATTGCAAAGGTCACTGGAGTTCCATCCAACCAACTTGAGAAAACAATATGAAATCATTGAACAGAACAGCATAATTTCTCTTTTATTTACACTGCATACTTTGACAATGGTTTTCAGTTTTTGTGGGTGTTTGTTTGTTTTAGCCAATGGAACACCAGCTTAAGAAAAGATTTAGATGTCGAATTGAATTTTGTATCTGGCAGCATTGCCAGAATTTTTTTATTGGCAGCATCCAAAATACTGTTAACAAAAAACGCCTAATCATTATCATTAAAGATTGAGTTGCTATTATAGGGGAGCAGATTGCCAGTTATTTTGTATAATATTATATTTTAATCACCATGCGGTGAGAAACATTGGTGGTCCAAGGTCACATACTGAGTTTCATGGCTGAGTGAGAATTGAAGCTCTGGCCTCAAACTCATAGTTCAACAGTTTAGCCATTAGACCACACTAGCCACAGGGAAAAAGGAGGGCTGTGCCCCCCCCAAACCTTGGAGCAAACAGAGCACAGTAAGTTTGTAAAGAGGGAAGCAGCACCCTCAGAGCTAATATAGCTGTGAGAGACAAGGCAGTTGTGGCAGCCTAGTAAATCTTAAGACTGCATTTGTACATTGCAAGTTGCCCTGAGACCTTCTGGTAAAAGGCAGGTAAGAAATGTATATTTGTTGTTGTTGTTAATTGGAAAGTCAGAGCAGTGATGAAAAGTGCTACTGAGCTCTTTAAGAAAAGGCCCCATCCACCAGGTAAACTCTAAAGCAAGAGGTAGTCTGGGGCTCTACGGACACACTGCAACTGTACTTTATGTTAGGTACTGAAGTTCTCACCCTGGGGGATACTGTAGATAGTTATGCAAATGAAGGATCGAAAAGTGACGTTCAGTGATTGGATAGTTTGTATGCAAATGAAGGATCGAAAAGTGACGTTCAGTGATTGGATAGTTTTAGAAAATGGCAACAGTTACATTGTTCTGGAGCTCTATATAAGCAGGCTAACTGAGCTCCTCAGTTAGTTCTGTTCCAGCTTACAAATAAAGAGCTGCTTTGGAAGAATCGCTGTGTCGTCTGATATGTTCGCCCACAACTTAACACTGGCAACGAGAATGGGATCGATGGACATCAGAGCACAGCCAGATGCGGCCATCCTCTGAACTGAGCTGAATCACTGAGCTGAATCACTGGACAGAACCAATTCAGAGCTGACTGTTCTGGCTAGAGCACTGTGTTCCATCCATCACCCTCCACGCTGGCATCGGAATTATGGCTTCACTTGTGCCTCTACCGCCGTTTGCGCCAGCCTCTGAATCATGGGACTCCTACCTCGCTCGGTTCGACTGCTACCTCCAAGCCAACGAGCTGCCAGCAGTATCAAAGGAACGGAAGCGGGGCCTATTCCTCAGCCTCTGTGGGCCTGAGGTGTTTGAGACGGCCCGAGCATTGGTTGCGCCTGAAGCAGTCCAGGCAACACCATGGGACACGATCTAAGAGAAGCTCCACAACCACTACACACCAAAGCCGTCCAAGATTTCTGCCCGCCATGCGTTCTACCGCTGGAACCAGGCAGAGGGGGAGTCAATCAACAACTACACCACCACCCTGCGACAGGCTGCAATGCACTGCGAGTTCCAAGACTTAGACGATGCCCTGATGGATCGAATCGTCTGCGGGGTCCGGGACATCCATCTGCAATGGCGTCTCCTCACCAAGCCAGGCCTCACGCTACAGAAAGCCATTGAGGAGGCTGTGGCCTCAGAAGCTGCTGAATTCTCCACCCAGGAGATCCGCAAGTCCAGCAGCCCGCGTTGTGCTAGGAAGCCAGTTCCAGTGCATCATGAAGAGGCCAGCAGTGATGAGGCATCCTCCAGTGAAGACAATGACGTGCACCAGACAAAGCGGGAGCGCAGGAAGTTCCAACAGAAGTCCAAGGGCCAACCGGAATGTGCCGGCTGCGGAGGCAACCATTCCCGTGCCAAGTGTCGATTCAGAGATGCCACCTGTAGGAAGTGTTCCAGAAGGGGCCACATCGCTAAGGTCTGCCGATCGGCTCCGTCTGACACCCCCTCTTCACCGACTCGCAAGTCCAAGTCTTCACTCCAGTCTGCCAAGGAAAGCTGTTTTGCTCTCACCAACTGCCGCTGCCCGTCTGGAACCACGGTTGGCCAAACCGACTCGCCTACGCGACACAAGCTGAACGTCATGGTGCTCATTGAAGGAGCTCCATGTGACATGGAGATCGACACCGGGTCTGCCCTGTCCATCGTGTCTTGGAGCACCATCAAAAGACTGGTACCCAGAGTGTCCAAAAGGCAACTTGACTCTCACCGCGTACACCTGAGAGACCACCAGGGAAACGACATTCCCGTGGTAGGTGTTGGCCGGTTCCGGATCGCCTTCAAGGATTTTTCGGGCCTGCTCCGACTGGTGGTGGTCGAAGGTCAGCGGCCAAGCCTCCTAGGGCTAGACTGGTTTGATGTCCTCGGCCTGGAAGTCACCGGCATCAACTGCATCTCTAACGCAGAGACTGAGGGTCCGGTCAAAGACTTTGCCGAGGTTTTTGATGGCACTTTGGGGCAATATACAGGTACGCTCATCTCCTTTAACCTTGATCCACAAGTCGCCCCCCTCAAGCTAAAGCCACGCCGTGTTCCCTTTGCTCTCAAGGCTAAGGTGGACGAACAACTGGACAAGCTGATCGCCCAAGGAGTTTTGGAGCCGGTTAACCACGCCAAGTGGGAAACCCCCATCATCATGCCTGTCAAGCCAGACGGGTCGGTGAGAATCTGCGCTGACTACAAGTACACGATCAACAAGGCACTTCAGCAGCACGCTTATCCGGTTCCTGTTGTCCAACACCTGCTGCATTCCCTGGGTGAGGGTAAGGTCTTTGCTAAGCTGGACCTTGCCCAAGCCTATCAACAACTGCCCGTTGATGATGCCACTGCTGAAGCCCAGACGATCGTCACCCACCGAGGGGCATTCCATTGCCACCGGTTGCAGTTCGGGGTGAGTGTGGCTCCTGGCATCTTCCAAAGCCTTATGGAGCGTCTCCTGCAAGGGCTTCCGGGCATGGTACCATATTTTGATGACGTCTTGGTGTCCGCAGACTCACACCAGCAGCTGTTTGAGCGCCTTCGTGCCGTGCTGACCAGGTTTCAAGAGGCTGGGCTCAAGGTAAAGAGGGAGAAGTGCCAGATCGCTGTTCCACAGGTGGAGTTCCTGAGCTATCTTATCGATGCCTCCGGCCTTCACCAGACCGCATCCAAGATCTGCGCTATCTAGCAGGCCCCCATCCCAAAGAACAAGACAGAGTTGCAGGCATTCCTGGGGCTGCTGAACTTTTATAACATGTTCCTGCCCCACAAAGCCACGGTGGCTGAGCCTCTTCACCGACTCCTCAGCACAAAGATGCCTTGGTCCTGGGGTCATCGGGAGACGGCGGCCTTCAACGCGGTCAAGGCTCTCTTTTCATCAGACAGTGTGCTGGTACAGTACAGTGAAGCCCGGCCGCTGGTCCTTGCCTGCGACGCCTCACCTTTTGGCATCGGCACTGTCCTTGGTCACCGTTTTCCAGACGGAAGAGAAGCACCGCTCACCTACTTTTCCAGGACGCTATCTCTGACTGAACGGAATTCCAGCCAGCTCGACAAGGAGGCACTGGCACTTGTGGCTGGAGTGAAGAGGTTCCATGAATACCTCTATGGCAGGACTTTTGACCTCATCACTGACCACAAGCCGCTCCTGGGTCTCCTTGCCGGTGATTGTCCAACTCCACCGGTCCTCTCGCCGCGCATGCTGCGATGGACTGTTTTCCTGGCTGCCTACCACTACCGGCTCGTCCATCGCCCGGGGAAATCGATGGGCCATGCTGACGCCCTCAGCCGTTGCCCTCTTCCAGCGTTTGTGGAAGACCCGGCTCCAGGTTCATCGCTCCTCCTGATTGAGGATCTTCCTGCAGCGCCTGTATTGCCTGTCACTGTGGCCTCCGCATCTGCCCAGGATCACACCATCAGCCGTGTGCTCAACTGAGTGTGGAGGGGGTGGCCACAAGGGCCTTTTGCATCGGAGTTCCAACCATTCGCAACCAGACAACATGAACTCTCGGCTCATTGCGGCTGTCTGCTGTGGGGAGACCGCGTCGTGATTCCCCAAAGACTCCGTCAACGTGTCCTGGAGGCTCTGCACGTTGGCCACCTGGGAATCGTCAAAATGAAGGCGTTGGCTCGGTGTTATGTCTGGTGGCCTAACATGGACGATGCCATCACTGCCTGGGTGTCCGCCTGTCAAGCGTGCCAAGAATCGAGGCCTGCACCACCGGCAGCTAAGGGACACACCTGGGAGACGCCCAAGACACCCTGGTCGAGGGTGCACATCGATCTGGCCGGCCCCTTTCACGGCCGGACCTTTATGATAGTGGTGGACGCCTATTCCAAATGGCTGGAGGTGGCCCTGATGCCCTCCACCACTACCAAGGCTGTCATCCGGGTGCTGCGAGGCCTGTTTGCGACGCATGGGTGTCCTGATGTCCTTGTCTCCGACAAGGGACCGCAGTTCACGTAAGGCACTTTTGAGCGGTATCTTTTGGGACTGGGCATCGGCCATGCCCTAACGGCACGATTTCATCCATGCAGCAACGGGCAAGCGGAGAGAATGGTGCGCTCAGCAAAAGAGGCACTGGCGCGCCTGGACCGGGGAGACTGGCACGAGCGGGTCGCCGAATACTTGTTCGTGCAACACATCACCCCTCATGCGGCCACAGGGCGGAGTCCTGCTGAACTGCTTATGGGCCGCCGCCTCAGGTCACCGCTCGACCGGCTGCACCCGGACTTTGCCATGGCCGAACCCCCAGGCTGTGCCAACGCGCCACGGTCATTTGTTCCAGGGAACCAGGTCTTTGCCCGGAACGATGTGGAGGACATTCCTTGGGTGCCAGCCACAGTAGTGGGAGTCACTGGACCTCGCTTGTATCAGGTGGCACTCGAAGATGGACGCTTGTGGCGCCGGCACATAGACCAGCTTAGGCGCAGGGTTGGGGACTGGGACACTACCATGGTGCCCCCAACTGCGCTCGTGGCTCCGGAAGAGACACTTACAGATGGCGAGGCTCCACCTACACCTCCATCGCAAACTGCCAGCGTGGAGCCGAACCAAGCCACTTCAGAGGGTCTGCCAGACTTACCACAGGCTCAGACCACTCCACTTGCGGAGGCTCCACCCACAGCAGTGGATCCAGGGGATTTGGTTTCAACGCCACCTAGGGTCGCACCACAGCCTCAGCAAGAATTGGGTGGCCCCCCGGACTTGGCTACCAGTCCCCGGCGGTCTGGCAGAGTTACCAAGTGCCCAACTTATTTAAAGGACTATGTTGTTGGACATGTATCACTGTTGGTCTAAGTATGTGAAATGTAACCGATATGCTTTTGTGCCTAATTGAACCATTACGTGTAGTGCTGTATATAAGGAAACCATTACGATTGTAACTAACGCCTTATCTCGGTGGGGAGGCGTGTTATGTACTGAAGTTCTCACCCTGGGCCAGCAGGGGGATACTGTAGATAGTTATGCAAATGAAGGATCGAAAAGTGACGTTCAGTGATTGGATAGTTTGTATGCAAATGAAGGATCGAAAAGTGACGTTCAGTGATTGGATAGTTTTAGAAAATGGCAACAGTTACATTGTTCTGGAGCTCCATATAAGCAGGCTAACTGAGCTCCTCAGTTAGTTCTGTTCCAGCTTACAAATAAAGAGCTGCTTTGGAAGAATTGCTGTGTCGTCTGATATGTTCGCCCACTTTAACTGAACTAAAATGATGAAAATGGCTGAACTGCAGTATCCCAAGCATTGCTGGGCTCACTGTAGCAGACAGGGGCGCTGATTTGGGCCTCAGATTATGGGTGCCAAGCGGCGTGCGACGTATTGTGACATCATGTTGTGCTGTGACATCATGAAGTCACATTGTGTGTGCCGCAACGGCTCCTAGGGACTCCAGAAGTTGTGTCCGAGGCCCAAGAAGGCCTTGGATGCCACCCCAAGGCTATACAAGGCATCAGCCAAGATTTCTGGTGCTTTCTGAACCATTTTCAGGAACCATTTTTTCTGGTTCCTTAGGTACCAAAGGCCCCTTATAGTTGGCGCCAGTGGTGGCAGAGCAGAATTAAAGGTGGGACAGGATTTGTGCACTCCCCCATCATTTTCTATCCCCCTTGCCATTAAATTATTTCCACATGCTGACAAACACAAGCTTCTCCGTAGTTCAGGGGCAGGGTTGGAGACTAAGAAGATTTTGGATCTTTTGGATCCAAGACTTCTCCTGGTCAGTCACTGCCATGCTCACTTCCCAGTCATTGGAGATTAATTTCAGCAAGGCAATGGCCATGGAAGTTCCTTAGGCGGCATGGAGAATGTAACTAACATCCAGCTGTCTCCGCCAAGCTCAGACCTCCCTCTCCACTCTCAGGAGAGGAAATCTGACGTTCTCATAGGAAACCATCAAAAGAACCACAGGACTGCAGAGTCAATCAGAAAAGTAACTGATGAATGGTGGGCAGGTGTAACATCCTTATATACAGAAGACTTAAATTTTAATGCTAACCTAGTTATGATCTAAAATAAAGTTAGTATTTACAATTGTTAAAAATCTGATTTCCACTTCTTCTTTTGTTCACTTACCTGAACTTTCTATCGAGTCCCAGAATTAAACCAATATAATAAGCAGATCCATAACACTTGCTCTAAAACATACAAAGGAAAAATGGGAGTAAATGCAATGTAAATGCAACAATAAAATAATCAGGTATGCTCCAGAGCAATATAATTCAGTTATTCCATAGGAAGTTTGTAATGATGAACATAATGTGTTTGTTTAAAAACACAATTAAAGCTTTACAATTAAAACAAATTAAAACATGTCAATTAAAATGAGGGTAAACATGAAAGAAAGTTTTTTATTATGTTATACTTTAACTGATGTAATTAGCTGGTTTTCTGAATGTTTTTATTTCTATACTGTATAAAATCAGTTACAGTGTATCCCACTAATAATCTTTCATGCCCATTGTTTCTCAGGCCAGTTGTCCACTTAGAAGAGCATTCTGTTCTCTGAAACATTATTTTATCTATTATCAGCACCATCAAGTTCCTTAGACAATTATTTCTGGGTGGGATGTTTAACTTTGGTGCCATTAAAATTACATGCTTCGCCCCAAAAAATTCACATCGAAGCAAATATTCCTAGATTTTAAAAGAATACAAATGTGCTGGAAAGTAGTACAATATAACCACAGAATATGCCCGTCCCAACAGGAATGGGCAATAGAAATTCTGCTGAGATCCAACAAGAGGATGATAATCACAAACTGTACCTCACTGCATCTTAATTTCCTTATTAACAGATAGCAATAAGTGTCAGCACCAGCAATGCCTTGAGAGTCTAATGCTCGCAGGTCTGGCTATTTGCATGCTTGCTATCTGAAAATTCACTTATCTGCACTTAAATAATTATGCCCAGACCTTGCTATACTCTGGGGCAGAAATCAGAGAGGGGTGGGGGGAAGCGAGATCATACAATTCAGAGAGCAGGAGAGGTTGGACAAATAAGTGTTTTTTACTTTGTCTCTCTTTTGGTGATTGGAGAGGGGGTGGGGGAGTGATCAAACAAATCCTACATTTGCAATGTTCCCATAGGAATGGATGGAATTCATGGACTCATTGTGCAAACTCTCGCCTACCAAAGGATTTCCACAGAACACATTGCGTTCAGTAAGTAGGAACTCCATGTGTTACAGCACACAATCTCACCAGTCCATTCAGGAATCACATTCATATATCCATGCCTGCATAGAACCCTGATTACGTGGAAAGTGTTTTCAGCACAATGCTTTGGATATGTGATGATTATTGGGGGTGAGTGAAACACACAGACACACATTTATATAGTATATATTTGCAAGCCTCATTTCCTTGGCTTATGCTATGATAGTAGTATATGACCACAAAGCTTGCAATATTTTACACACTTACTTGGAAACGAGACCCATTAAAGACAATGAGACTTACTTTTCAGTAGACATGCATGGAATTGCACTGCTAATCTCTGCAAGCTTTTGGTGCCACCATCCAGAGGAAAATGATAAGCAGACATAAAAATGGCCTTGATCAAATAATTTATGTGCCCTTTTTTTTAAACCAAGCTATACTTGACTGGAAAGCATATGCTCCATATTTTTCTTACATATCTCCACACAAATTGCCATTCACTGCGACTTTCAATGACAGTAAGATCTCCTCCATGTTTCTTGCAGAATTCCCGTGCTCTTTCGAGAGATGTCTGTTCATTACTGAAATAGTACTCCTTGCCCTTGTACTCAATCCAGCCATCTTCAATTCTTCTGAACAAATATTCTACAAAAAGAAGCAATTTTATTATTTTAATAATGAATATTAAATTTAATATTAAATATCAAAATATTTCTTAGCCATCCTTTATGGTATGCAAGAGTGTGAATAATGTTAATTCACACAACCAGCGGTGCAGCTAAGCAAATTCAATGATCTCGCCCACTTTAGACTGTCAGATATATGATTTCAATTTTGAAGCACACAATGAACAACTTCTCCCTCTCCATTCCCCTGTCACACCATGGTACATTTAAAACTATTACAGTTTGATTACCCTGATAATTTATTTTCAAATTAAATTATAAAACAAGCACCTAGGACTGTGGAAATATATCTCCCATGGAAAAAAAAATGGTCAGTTCAGTAATGACAACCATGGAGTTATTTGCTGAAAGGCAAGTATGCAAAACTGAAGAAAAGACACTGCATATGTTTTTAAAGGTACTATCTTATGACTTCACATTTTCTAGCAGGGCCTGGGACCTCTTGCATACAAAGCAGTTGTACCACTGAGCTTCCCCAGCTGTATGTAATCCATTTTGGAGGAATGAGCAAGCCCAGACCAGAAAGCAGCTACCATTGGCTCCTGGTAGGTGTTAGTTTCTGTTTCCTCACTGAGCAGTTGCTTGCAGTCACAGGACTGTTTACATTCCACAGAGTCCAGATACTGTTGGATTCTCACGGGAAAGGGAGACGGGATGTGACGTTACTGGTTTCCTGTTTCCTTTGTTCTGTTGTTTCCTTTGTTCAGTTGCTCTCTGCTTCTCATAGAGAGAACATGTATACAGTGGTGCCCCGCAAGACGAATGCCTCGCAAGACGAAAAACTCGCTAGACGAAAGGGTTTTGCAGTTTTTGAGCTGCTTCACAAGACGAATTTCCCTATGGCCTTGCTTCGCAAGACGAAAACGTCTTGCATTTTTTGCAAGTTTGTTTCCTTTTTCTTAACACCGTTAATACAGTTGCGACTTGACTTCGAGGAGCAACTCATAGAACGCGGTGTGGTAGCCTTTTTTGAGGTTTTTGGTGATTTTTGAAGCTTTTCCAAAACTTTTCCGACACCGTGCTTTGCAAGACGAAAAATTCGCTAGACGAAAAAACTCGCGGAATGAATTAATTTCGTCTTGCGAGGCACCACTGTATTTCTTTGCTCTCTGCATAGCTTAGTAATAAAGCATAGCAATGTAGCCCATATTATCTCATCCTTCCGCTGTGGCGTTGTTTTAATGCTCTGCTGGGTGGGCTCAAAAGAAGATGAGCCTTATCAGCTTGGACGACCGGAGCTGAAATCCCAATAGTAGGACCCTCAGTGGCCGAAGAGAACCTCTGGGGAAGCCCCTTCCCCATTTTTTTACTTAAGACCTGTTTGTTCTGAGGGAAGGCAGAAACTGGGATGCCCAAGCCAGGAAGCACACACATCTTTGGCTTGTGACAGAACCATCAGTAGCCTGAAAGAGCTGTTAAGGCAGCTCCACCTCCACTTTTATAGTGCTGCTTAAGAGAGACACATGTGACCTAAGCAAAGGTGGAATCACTCAACATACCAATATCACTGCGTGGTTCCGGTTTTAACTGTGCACCTGAAAACCAAACACATATTGCTTATAATAGTGTGATTTATATGTATTGCATTGTTTCATATTACAAACAGGAGTACATAAAAATAAAAGTGTTTACAAAAACCAGACCAAAGCTGGTAAGTGTATGAGGTTAACGCTATGCAAGGTCATATCAAAATAAAATTAATCACTGTTACATTACATTGCATACCAGATCGAAGGGCAGTACAGAAAATAAATAAGTACTTTCTAAATATTTCTCAAAAGTGATAATGTGTATATATGACTGTACATATGATACCATGAACCCAATACTATTTTTCTAGAAAAGGAGGTGCTGGAACTCACCATGAAAATCCCCCTTCTTCTCTTATATAATGACAATGGCATCTACCTGAGAGGTGCTGGAACTGAGTTCTAGTGAGTCCCGGCTGAAAAAAAGCCCTGCATGCAGAGGCGTAGCAAGGTCAGGTGGTACCCGGTGGTGGAAATATTTTTTGTCACCCCCTCCCCAAGTTGGGAGACGAGTCGAGGGAAGGGGGGAGCTGCTCTGCTTTGCCGACGGCCCTTTGCCGACGGCCCTGACGAGCCGCCAGGGCCGTCGCTCGCTGTAGGCTTGGGAGTCACGGGCGGGGGCGCCCCCCGGATGTCACCCCCCTTCAAGGATGACAGCTGTCCTCTCCCTGCCTGCCTGCCTGCCTCCTCCAGCCGGGAGTGTGGGTGGCAGGGCAACGGTGCAACCCATCTGTGATTCCCAAGCCTACAGTGAGCCGGGGGAAGGGTGGAGCTGCGACGCTTTGCCAATGCTTTGCTGCTGCTTTTGCCTGCTTTGCTGCTGCTTTGCCACTCACTGTAGGCTTGGGAGTCGGGGCACGGGGGCGCCGAATGTCACCCCCTCAGGATAACACCCAGGGCGGCATGCACCCCCATACCCCCTTCCTACGCCCCTGCCTGCATGTACTTACCTGAAGAGTAGATTTGCTTGTCCAGTATAGCATCACTGGGTTGGCCTTACTTGTACCTCTAGTGGACAAAAGCAGGAGTAGCCTTTTACAGGAAATGGGCTGGCCCCTCTTCATTTATTTTGTTCCTGCCTCTTCAGTTTTACGTATTCACCAAGCATGAACAGTCCAGAACTGGAGGCCATAATAGTATTAACCTATTTCCTATGAGAAACCATTAACTGAAAGCCAACAAAGGTGCAAACAGAGGTGGGAAAAGGTGTTCTAGGTCATGCAAGGGTGTGGCCCCAGTGATCCATTACACTGGACAAGCAAATCTACCATTCAGGTAGGTACAATGCTATTATTTTGCTTGCTGGTGTAGCAACCCTGGGTTGGGCCTACTATTCTATAATTCTGTGAACTAGGGTGGATCCCAACTGCAGCAAGTGATTCGTGTAGGACAGCCTGCTGTAAGACCTTCGGGCGGAATGCTGCTCCAGAGGATGCAAAGGCTCCATCTTATAGTGCCTGGGGAATGTGCTTGGGGATGTCCAGGTTGCTGCTCTGCATATTTCTAGCAAGGATGCATTCGTAGAAAAAGCAGCTGAACAGTAGAAAAGTGAAATCACAGAAGAAGACTGCTAAGCCAAGATGAAGTAATAAGAGGATTCAAAAGAGAATATGACTGCTTCATCGAGGCAGGTGCAAAAAAACCTACCGTATTTTTCGCCCTATAGAGCACCCCGGCCCATTAGGGTGCACTTATTTTTTGGGGGGAGGGGGGGAATAAAGAAATTTTTTATCCCCCCCCGAGCTTGTGGGGCTGGGGGCGGGGGAAGCCCGAGCTTCCCCCAACCCCAGCCCCCAGAATGGGTCCTGGAACGATGGCGAGGTTGCACTCAACCTCAGCCATTGCTCCCGGAGCTTGCTGCTATCCGAAGCCTGGGGAGTGTGGCGCTGTAGCCCACTGCGCACCCCGGGCTTAGAGCAGCTATCCGGGCGCAGCAGGCTTGCGGATAGCTGCCTTAAGCCCGGGGTGCACAGTGCTGTGCTCCCTGGGCTTCGGGCTGCAGGCAGCTATCCGCAAGCCTTCAGAGCCCGCAGGAGTTCCCGCCGGGCTCCGCAGGCTTGCGGATAGCTTCCTGAAGCCTGGGGAGCGAGAGGGGTCGGTGTGCTCTCCAGGCTTCAGCGAAAGCCTGCATTCGCCCCATAGGACGCACACACATTTCCCCTTCATTTTTGGAGGGGAAAAAGTGCGTCCTATAGGGCGAAAAATACGGTATTTCCCATAGAAGCTACTTCTGCCTTTCCCCCCTAGAGGCACAAGTAAGGTCAACCCCACAGATGCTACAATGGCAAACGAAATCATCTGTGGTTAAGATAAAACCAGGGTGAACAGACTTAAACCATGGAACAACGAATTCAATCAGATCATCCTCCAACAATCCCTCATGAAAAAGGTACACAGGAAGTCCCTCATTTCCTGCCCCTTTATCAAGTATTTCAGCTTTCTCATTCTGCTAAAACTTTTACAGTCATAGCTCGTGTTGTGTTCTGCTCTTGTTACGGACTTTGAGCTTACGAACGCGGCAAACTTGGAAGTGTTTACTTCCGGGTTCACCACCCGCACATGCGCAGAAGTGCTCGCTCACACCACGCTCATGCGCAGAAGAGGCGCTCTAGTTGTGGACTTTTTGGGGTGCAAACTGTACCACAAAACAGATTAAGTCCACAACTAGAGGTACCACTGTATCTTCCTTTCATGTGCAGTGCCTGCTGTTGCTGCTGAAGTTCTTGTATCTGTGAGAGGGCCCAGTCTAATGTTATCTTCTTTAAGCTTGAGTCTCCATAGGAACTATTAGATCTTTCCACCATTCTTATTTGTAGTTTCAGTTGCTGTACTACAAATGTATCTCAGATGTTGCTTTCTCCTTTCCTAGGAGTGTTTGGGACATCTTGTGTTGAAGGAGCTATGTTAGATGCAGCCTGATTTTCTTGACAGCTTGAAGGGGAAACATGGTCTTTGGGCTGAAAATAGGGCGGTCAGATCTCTCATTTTCACTTGTATATGAATTCTCCCTTTCCTAGCTCATGGAGGGAGGATTAGTGTTGCAGAACCTCAAAAGTAGGAGAAGATTCAGGTGCCTTTACAGAACTCTCTCTTTAGTTGGCCATTTCCTCAGGTGCTGTGGCCACACCAGCGGCGTAGCGTGGGTTATCAGCACCCGGGGCAAGGCAAGTAATTTGCGCCCCCTAACCCGGGCAAGGCAATTAATTTGCGCCCCCTAACCCGGGGCAAGGCAAGTACAGTAATTTACTCTCCCAAGCAGCAGCAGCGAGGCTTCTCTTTCCCCCGCGCTCTCCTGGAGCTGCCTCTTTTCTTTCCTTTTTTCCCTTTCTCCAAGGCTTTTCGCTTTCTCTCCTTAATTGATTCCTCCTCCACACCGCAGCGTTTCCTGGCTGCTTCCCCCCTTCCCCTCTCTCTCCTCCTCGCTCTGCTTGCCTTGCCCTGCCCTGCCTGAGGGCGCCCTGAGGAGACACTGCTCTCCTTTTTGACCAGGCGAGGTGGAAAAGTCTCTTCCCGCCCCCTCGCCAGACTCCCTGCTCGGCTCGGCTCACTACCCAGGCGGCCAGTGGAGAGAGAGCCGCAATTACCATAAAGCTCCTCTCCCTCCGCTTCGCCAAGCTGTCAAAGCCCCGGCAGCAGCGGCAACGGCAGCAGCAGGCGCAGCCAGACCCCCACCAGCCAGCCAGCCAGCCCGCCCGCCCGCCCGGCTTCCTCTCCTTTTTTTGCCCGCGGCAGAAGGCTTCGCTCTCCCCCTTCCGCGACCTCCTCGCCAAGCCGAGCGAGCGCGGGCTCCCTAACCCGTGGATTTTAGTAGGGGCAGAGAGCTGCTAGTGCGAGCGCGCCCCCCGCCCATGTTGCGCCCGGTGCGGCCGGCCCCCCTGGCACCCCCCACGCTACGCCACTGGGCCACACCCCAATATTTTTACATTTCTGAGGCACAAATAATAATATAATGCGAAGCAGCCTTCAGTGGCTTCCTGTATTAAGTCCAATGGCCCATCTAGTACAGCTTCCTGTTCTCACAGTGGCCACCTAGACGCCTGTAGGAAACCAGCAAGCTGAATCGGAGCAAAAGAATGCTCTCTCCTTCTGTAGCAATTGGTATTCAGAAATATTGCTGCCATCACTACCTCTTGTGGGACAATTTCCATGGTTTAACTATGCATTGTGTCAATAAGTACTTCTGAATTCACAATGGCCTCCATGCACTAGATTCCTGCTTCTCATTGAAATGGAACATACTATACCTCAGTGTGTACCATAATAAAAAGGCCCTTTCACTTTGCTTAATGAACTAGTTGTAAATCAAAAGTAATCTTACCTCTCTTTATTTGGCAAATCCAACAAAACACATTCTCACACGAGGAAAGTGCCAGCCCCATAAAACGTATATACGCTGCTACACATCCTTCGTCTCTGACATGACGTGAAGAATACAGATACGGTTCATAGTCTACCTGCTGTAGGAATAAATATTCATTACTCTTTTTCTTTATAAAAATCTTCAGAAATCTACAGAAAAAGATACAGACTTACAGTAGCATTCTTTATACACCTGTGCACATGTATGTATGTATGTATGTATGTATAGAGAGAAAGATGAGCTGTCATTTCCCTGTTAATACAATCTGGGTGCGGAAGGCTATTATAAAGAAACAGTTCCTGTCATTGCAAGTTTTCCCAACGACTGAACATGTTTTACCTCTGCCTACCAATTCACCACACTCCCACTGTGGGCCAGAGCAGGGCAGACATATCAGCTGATTCACCCACAGTATCATACTGAAACTGTCATTCATTCATTCATTAATTTAATTTAATCCTTTTACATTGTTTTGTATGTTTTGCGTGTTGAGGTCCCCAAGACACCCCTACCCTAATAACTCACATATCACACAGAATTTTTGTTTAAGGTTTTTGGCATAATTTTGGCCACAACTTTATTAACATACATGGATGTGAGTGGTTGCTTAGGCCTTGATAGGATAGGACTATCTGTCCCCCCGCCTTGGGGACAGAACTGACTTCTGGATTCCAGCGAAAGTCAGTGAGGGGAAACAATATTGGTGAGAACTGGAGCTGTGACACAGGCCCTCAGCTTCTCCCCACATGCTCCCAGGGGCTTACGCGGCCCAAACCCAATTCCAGGGGTTTGGACAAAAGGATGGCAAGCCCCTGAATTCCTTTAACGGAATTCCCTTGCAGCAGCAGCATTGGAGGGGCAGGCCCAGCCAATCCTTACCCCTCCTCCAACCAATTTTAACCAATGCCTAACCGCAACCTCAAAGTTATGACGATTTGCTACGCAGTAGGCAAAAACCAAATGGCACCAGCCAATCAGCCAAATGGACAAAATTTCTACCAGGCCCCTGCCCCAACAGCAGATGACCCCATGACAGGCATAGCAAGGTCAACGCATAAGACCCAAATCAAGGGAGGGCGGGCGGGTGATCCGGTGCACACAGCAAAAGAGAAAGCAGATTGCTGTGTGCACTGCTTAAAAAAACTCTGTTCCCACCCCCAAATTGGCAACATCAAAATTACCCCAGCAACTCAGGCTACCAATCCCTGCTAGGGCCAAGCATCCCAAACATGCCTAGCAACAGCGGGGGGTCTTGTCTGGCCCCCACTGCAACACGTGCTCTCTTAATGAGAACGCGCGTTGTGGTTTTTTATGTACTGTGATTTGCTGCTGTTTTTATCGATTATGGATAAGTAATTCTTTATTGTAATTGATAAGTGTAAACTGTTTAAATATTACTTGCTGATGTTAAATTTTAGTGTTTCATTCATTCATAGACTTTATTGCACTAGCCAAAGGCCATGGCATCATTTACAAGAAGAACATAAAAACATCAACAATAACCATAAAACATCAGGCATAACAAATACGATAAATCGCAATCACAACTCCTAAAAATTGTTTGCTGCATGTAATAGACTAGCTGGGGATTCTCAGGTAGAATGTGCCAACTTAAATGTCCAAATCACCTTTGCAATTGACTGCAATTTTGTCTAGTTCTTTCCTCCTAATCTTCTTAGCTGCCAGTGTGTATAGTTTATAAGTTACAAAATCATCCGTATCACTCAGCAGCCATTTCACCCTTTCCACCCTGTTCGAGTGAGTTCCATTCGTAAGCAGGGGTTTTATAAATCAGTCTCTTGGGTCTGTATATAGCGGGCATTGCAGTAAATAATGGTACAGGTCCTGTACATAAGGTTGCCCACACAGATAAAGTCTCTCGTTGTACTGTACTTCGCCGTACCGTCCATCCAACACCGCCAAGGGCATTGATTGAAATCATAATTCTGTAAAAGCGATTCTTAGTATGGCAAGTGGGAGCTTTGTCAGACAACTAGCTTGAGTGTGCTCCATTTTGATAAGTGGGAACCATGGTGAACTTTGGGTAGAGGCAATCATGGTTAAATCCCTTTCTGCATCGGACCTATAGAGGCGATCGCTTAAGTGCCTCTTGTCCAACTTCATGACCGCCTGAAGATCTTGTAGTTGATATTGGGACAAGAGATGTTGGATGCCAGCCTTCCAGCATTTGGTCTGTTCCCATTCTGTGAGAGACATAGCGGGGGAATCTCTTCTCCGAGAGGAATTGAAGTCTTTTTACATAGTTTAGACACAGATAGTCAATTCTTGCCTGTATTGTTATCGCGTCCATTTCAACACGAAGGAGAACAGCTGGAGTCCAATTTTAGTGCTTGCTATTGGATTCTAATGGATTATTGCATATTGCTTTATTTGATATACATTGTTTATTTTAAAGTTATTGTGAATTTTTATACAGGATCTGATTGTTACTATTAATGTTTGATGTTTTATTATTATTTGTGTGTGTGTTGTAAGCTGTCAAGAGTGGCTGGGGCAACCCAGCCAGATGGGTAGGGTATAAATATTATAATAGTAAAATTTATTACATTTTTGTATGGCCCTTCATCCGAGGATCACAGGGTGGTTTACAATATAAAAACACAAAAATACACAACATAGTAACAAACAAAATTCATAACCAGTTTTAAAAGCCATAGATTGTTTAATTAGCCAAAGGCATGGGAGAAGAGATATATTTTTGCCTGGCACCTCAAGATATGTAATGAAGGTGCCAAACCTCCCTCCCTGGGGAGAGCATTCCACAAGCAGGGGGCTGCTGCAGAAAAGGCCCTTTGTCATGTTGCCACCCTCCAAACCTCTCATGGAGGAGGCACATGAAGAAGAGTCTCAGAGGATGAAAAATGTTTTAACTGTAATGGCCACTTTTCCAAATCATGGCTTTGCTTTGGATAGTACAGGACCAGCAGGACCAGGGAAGGAGGGCAGCAGCCACAATCTTTGTTTTCCCATTTGCACTAAACCATAGTTCATTTTTGAATTACATGTAGGTGTTTGTGCTCCTATTGGTGCATTGTTTAATGCTCTGTTTGTTACATAATAATAATAATAATAATAATAATAATAATAATAATACATAAGAGCACTATTTTAAAAACAAAACAAAACAAAAACAAATCTAATCCAACTGGATAAGCAGCAATTTCATCAACTCTGCAGGAACTGCCATAGGTGCTGGGTCCAAAAATTAGATTGCATACAAACCTATGCTTAAAGGCTCAGATGCTGGAAATTAACCGGTAAGTGACTAAACATTTAAAACAATGCTATGGGATCTGTCCAGAAAGCAAAAGAGCTTCAACATTCATATTCAAAATGGTTTTGTAAAAATGATATTAATTTTCCTGTCAATACATTAGCATACTTACAGGAAATCCATCACTCCAAGTAAATCCTTTATCAGGCTCCAACTTAATTAAACCAACCCAACAATTACGTCGAAACCTAAAATATATAAAAGATAATTTTAGAGTGCAGAAAATTTTAGAGTGCTCTAGTTCTTCCCCGCTTGGACTACTGCAATGGGGCTACCTTTGAAGGTGACCCAGAAACTGCAATTAATCCAGAATGTGGCAGCCAGACTGTTGACTGGGAGTGGCTGCCAGGAACACATAACTCCGGTCCTGAGAGATCTGCATTGGCTCCCAGTACGTTTCTGAGCACAATTTGAAGTGTTGGCACTGACCTTTAAAGCCCTAAATGGCCTCGGTCCTGTATACCTGAAGGAGCATCTTCACCGCCATGATTCAGCCCGGACACTGAGGTCCAGCGCCGAGGGCCTTCTGGCAGTTCCCTTGCTGCAAGAAGTCAAGTTACAGGGAACCAGGCAGAGGGCCTTCTCGGTAGTGGCGCCCACCCTCTGGAACACCCTCCCTTCAGATGTGAAGGAAATAAGCAGCTATCCTATCTTTAAAAGACATCTGAAGGCAGCCCTATTTAAGGAAGTTTTTAATATTTAATGCTGTACTGTTTTTAACATTTGATTGGGAGCCACCCAGAGTGGCTGGGGAAACTCAGCCAGATGGGCGGGGTATAAATAATAAATTAAATTATTATTATTATTTATTCTAAATCTTTACAGGTGACTATATTATAAACCCTGACCCCTACCTCCTTTTTGGTTGGTTGATGGGTACATTTGAACCTTAAAGAAAATATACCATCCTATTATCAGCACTATACCGAAATGTCTGACATGGGGGCATGGATAGTCACAATGGACAAACAAGTTCCCAAAGACACTGAGTTAAAAAGCAGAAGTTGGGTATGAGCCCAAAACACCTCAGTATATATTTCAGTCTACCTAGTGCACATATTTCACAGAAGTCAACTGGTGATTCTCAGAGATGCGTAGCATGAGGTAGATTCTTTCCCCTCTTTTTGATAAAGGGCCACCTGTTTTTTTCAGTATAGTTAGTGTGTGTAACAGAGAGGAAGGACATTTTAGTGTGTGAATTTCAAATGAGACGGGTGTTTGGGAGATTCACATGGAAATGCAAGCCGAATACAATGTCTTCCCCATCCGTAACCAGAACAGTTTTTGATTCTGAGACAATGTGAAGAAATAAACATTTCATGAAACTCACTGATGGTACAAACCAAACTTTTCTTCGCTGTTAGCAGAAGCTAGGTCTCCTCCAATTGCTCTACAAAAATCTCGTGCTTCAAACCAAGTTAGCATGTTACTTGTATAGGCCTAAATGGATATAAATACAATTGCATATTGGTAAGAATCTTGCAAATTCCATTCACAGTGAGATCTGCGTGGTTTGCACGAACCCCTCTTTGACATGTAACAATGGTAGCTAAGGGCCAAAGCAGACATGGCATAAAAGCATGTGATTAATCGGCACAATTTTTTAAAAAATAAATAAATAGATTTGGGTGGGAAACTCCCACCGATGCTCATTAGAACTTTCCTCCTATGTTTTGTCCTTTCCACCAGCTGTCTCTTCAACCTGCCTTTGCACAAGGAAGTCCAGGACTGGCAGTACCTGAAACAGCTGGTCAGATTAGGAAGCACAAATCTTATCTTCCCATCTGCAAGTCCTATTTTAACTGCACAAGCACAGTCTTTTTCTCTTCTATAGAAGGGTATGGCTCAGCAACTCACTGGTTACAAAGTTCCCTGTAGAGGAGGAAGCTTTTTAATGTGTAAAGATCAACATATCTAAAATGTTGAAAGCTGCCTGGAGTTGCACCGCCTAGTCAGATGGGTGGGCTACAAACAATAAAACAATGACAACAACGAATGTTACTTCTTCTGCTTGAGCACCATTTCTGATAGTCTCCAGCAAATCTCATAAGATTTGGACCCTAGATACAATATAAATATCTTCAAGCATAATTAAGCCTCATTTCCACCCTCTTGGTGATAGAGTTGCAGGTAGACTGGACTCCCTGGATCTAGACTGGACTCTAGTAAAGGCACCTACTGTGTTACTATCAATGTGGGGGTATCTTTCAGGGGGGCAGTTTGGTATCTTGTCTTACTGAACAACTTTGATCAATGTTGACAAAATGCGAGTTCAGGAAGTGTCCCCTCCCATCCCTACCTGGAGACAGGGGTGGACTTTGGACTTTCAAATTTCAGTGGCACCCTCTGCAAGGACACAATTCAGTGCCCCCCCCGACTCTTGCTTTCTGTTCTGCACATGCACTAAAAAAGAGAGAAAAGCTAAAGGACCCCTGGATGGTAATGTCCAGTCAAAGGCGACTATGGGGATGCGGTGCTCATCTCACTTTCAAGCTGAGGGAGCAGGCATTTGTCCACAGACAGCTTTCCGGGTCATGTGGCCAGCATGACTAAACCGCCTCTGGTGCAATGAAACACTGTGACGGAAACCAGAGCCCGCAGAAACACCATTTACCTTCCTTCTGTAGTGGTACCTATTTATCTACTTGCACAGGCGTGCTTTCGAACTGCTAGGTTGGCAGGAGTTGGGACACAGCAAAGGGAGCTCACTCTGTCATGGAGATTTGAACCACCGACCTTCTGATCGGCAAGCCCAAGAGACTCAGTGGTTTAGAGCAGTGTTTCCCAACCTTGTGCCTCCAGCTGTTTTTGGACTACAATTCCCATCATCCCTTGCCACTGGTCTTGCTAGTCAGGGATGATGGGAGTTGTAGTTCAAAAACAGCTGGAGGCACAAGGTTGGGAAACACTGGTTTAGAGCACAGCGCCACCCGTGTGTACTACATCATAATTGAAACACCCTGCAGTGGCACCCCTACTTTGGCTTGGTGCCCTGTGTGGAGGAACATTTAAAAGGCAATTGCATATTGACACTTCAAATAAACCACAGTACAAAACATTGAACTAAAACCCACTTAAAAAAGAATAACAACAAAATCCTGCACCAAGCAGTTAAATTGAAAACTAAAAATCACATCCTCAAATATCTCAAAATGTTCACTTAGACAAAAGTAATTTCTCTCTTTGCTTTGATATTGAAACAAACAAGAACTTGGATTCAAGAAGCAGTATACCCACTTTAAAGCATACACTTCTGTAAGGGCTTTGAAGCCATCCTTCTGGGCATGGGGGTGGGGGAATTGTTGATGGGGCAGGAGTTGTTGTCATAGTTTCTGCCCATTTTTTGCAGATGAAGGCTGCCTTCTCCTTGCAGTTCACAACATCCCACAGTCCAGCTGCAGTGCCAGTTCTCATGGCTACACAGCCAGATTGTTCCCCTTTTGGAGACACAAGACAAGAGCCACGTCAATTGAGCTTTTCTTCATAGGCATTCAAAACAACTAGAGAAAGGTTTTGTAAAATATGATTCTGTTGGATAGCCCACCTCATATAACCTGCTTAAGACTAAATAATGGATGAGGGGGTTAAGACCAAAGAGTAAGCTGTTCTGCCAGGCTTAGCTCACCTTGGAGGGACTAGGTCAGGGATAGTCAACTGTTAAGTTGTGGGTGAACATATCAGACGACACAGCGATTCTTCAAACAGCTCTTGTTTATTCACAGGCCCAGAACTGAACTGAACTGAAGGGTTCAGCCAGCCTGCTTATATAGAGCTCCACTACAATGCAACAGTAACAACTTTCTATAACTATCCAATCACTGAACGTCACTTTCAATTCCTTATTTGCATATGTAGACCTGAGTGAAAACTATCTACAGTACCCCCTGCTGGCCCAGGGTGAGAACTTCAGTACCTAACATCAACCTGGTCCCTACCACCCACTAGTGGGCATTTCAGGATTCCAGGTGGGTGGCAGAGGGTTCCATGCCCCATGTTACTGCAGCACTAGTGGGCGGTAAGGAAATTTGAAAAATGCATTAGTGGGCGGTAGGTATAAAAAGCTTGACTACCACTGGACTAGGTAATCAAGCATTTGTTTTCCTTCAGTCTATCTGAGAAGCTCAGTGTGTGAGGAGGGCTAAGCTGGTTGCTCCAAGTTCAGACCACTTAACTCTAACAAGCCTCTCTTGAGCTCCTGTTCCAATAACATAGGCGCTTACAACACTTTGGAACTAAGCCAAGTTTTGCTGCCTGTGCAAGCTTTTCTGGATGCTGCATGGAAAAGCACATTTCAATGAGTTACGTAGCTGAATATATACAGTGGTACCTCAGAAGTTGAACGGCTCCATTGTCTAAAGTTTGGGCTCCTGAATGACAAAAACCTGGAAGTAAGTGTTCTGGTTTTTGAACGTTCCTCAGAAGCCAAACGTCCAATGTGGCTTCTGCTGTCTGCAAGTACCAATCAGAAGCTGCACCTTGGAAGTCGAACAAAGTCAAATGTCCTTACAGAACAGATTATGTTCGACTTCTGAGGTACCACTGTATGTATATTAAATCTTTGCTGTGGTTCTCTCACCAAAGAGTACTTGCACCCAACTTGCATCATGGCATCCAGGAATTTTCCTTCTTATACAGCGGTACCTCGGTTTTTGAACCTCTCTGTTGACAAACGTTTTGGTTTTCAAACGCCATAAACCCGGAAGTAAATGCTTCCATTTTTGAACACGCCTTGGAAGTCAAGCAGCTTTTGCTGAGTTATTTTTCTCAATTTTCTCTATTAAAATTGGCAGACTGCCCTTTGCGCCTTGGTTTTCGAACGTTTTGGAACTCGAACGGTCTCCCAGAACCCATTACGTTTGAAAACTGAGGTACGACTGTATATCTATTTTTTCCCTTGCCATCAAAACATTCCTGATAGACTTCAGGCAGTACCTACCAGGCATTCCTGAATTCCAGTCAGTGAACAGAACATTGTCTCTATTGATCCATTTGAATGTCCCTTGTTGCTGTACATCTGAAAGGCCAATCCAGAAATATTTTTCAGAACGAAGCCCAATTAGACTAGTCAGGAAGGCCTGTTCATATCTGTAGGGAAGAAGAAGAGAAGAATAGTAGTTTGGATTTGATACCCAGCTTTATCACTACCCTAAGGAGTCTCAAAGCGGCTAACAATGTCCTTTTCCCTTCCTCCCCCACAACAAACACTCTTTGAGGTGAGTGAGGCTGAGAGACTTCAGAGAAGTGTGACTAGCCAAGGTCACCCAGCAGCTGAGGAGCGGGGATGCGAACCTGGTTCACCAGATTACGAGTCCACTGCTCTTAACCACTACACCACACTGGAACGATGTGTAATTGATGCATTCAAATGATTATTAATTTCCTACATTTTAAAACAGGCTAGCTCTCATCCAGTCAAAATGCACATTTTGGAATGACAAGAGATAGCTCACAGTGAAAAAATGGAAAATCTTAAGCCTACAGGTCCACTATCACAAAGCAATACATCTGCATGTTGCATTTATCAGCACAATTCAGACTACAAGTCTTTCACAAGTACAAAACAAAAACTACAATGGCATCCAGAGAAAGAAACTGTGAAACAGAAGAATCTCAGCCCAGACTGCACATTAGGCCACAAGTGGCCACATACAGCATAGCATTAAGGATCTTAGAAGGAATTCTAGAAAACATTCACTCACTTTAGACAGAAAAACACAGGCTGAGACAATGATTAAAACTGTCGGAAAGACTGCAAGATCCATGTAGCCTGGAGAAGAGGAGGTTAAGGGGTGATATGATAGCCATGTTCAAATATATAAAAAGATGTCATATAGAGGAGGGAGAAAGGTTGTTTTCTGCTGCTCCAGAAAAGCTACAAGAAAGAAGATTCCACCTAAACATTAGGAAGAACTTCCTGACAGTGAGAGCTGTTTGACAGTGGAATTTGCTGCCATGGAGTGTGATGGAGTCTCCTTCTTTGGAGGTCTTTAAGCAGAGGCTTGACAACCATATGTCAGGAGTGCTCTGATGGTGTTTCCTGCTTGGCAGGGGGTTGGACTCAATGGCCCTTGTGGTCTATTCCAACTCTATGATTGTATGATTCTATGTAGTGCAGATGTTTCAGGAAAGTGAGGCAAGCCACAGATTGCAAATCAGATAGGAAATTCACAAGAAATGAGAGGAGCCGCTCATTCAAGAAAGTAGCTTAGTCGCATGCTGCAGGTCAAATCTTAATATATGTTATATGGCCAAAGAATTTAACATCTTAAAATAAAGGCATTGCACCTTTCATTCACAGAAACAGAAAAAAGTTGTTAGTCCTATTCAGAGTAAAGTAGACCCACTGAAATTAATGAGCATGGATAACATATGTCAATTAATTTCAGAAGGTTTACTCTGAGTAAACCTTAGTTGGAAACAGCCCATAGCCACAGGAAAGTCATTTTTTTTCTCTTTCATGCCCAACAAGGGGGAGAATAGACTAAAACATGCCCTCTGAACAACAAACCCATGGACTTCCTTTTACCTGTTCTCCACAGAAGCCAGTGATCCCTTATTTGTTTCACAGAATGTATTTGCTTCTGAAAATGTTGCAGATGTTTGGCTAATTAAGTAACAATAGGAACCATGCCTTTTCCAGCCCTGTTCATATAGAAGAACCAACAACCACATGTTACTACAGTATTACAAGTTTGGAGACGTGTTTTTAGTAGTAATGTTGCTGAAACTTTACTGAAACAGAAATCCCCATCCAGCGCTAGGTACCATAGAAATTGTACTCTTGAAAGTAGAATGTGTCAGAATTCAGTTATAAAATAAGATTTCCCTGGATTCCTAGATCGAGATTTTGGGACGTAATACAAACAGAGGTTTAAAAAAAGAAAACATGCAGCAAAGTAATGTGTGGAAATGCAGCCTATTAGACCTTTAAAATATCCCCCTTTTAAATCGTTTGCAAAGCTTCCCTTTCTTTCCGCTTTAGCATCGAAAAGACCACACTGTTAGGTTAGTTTATCGTTGTTATTGGTGCATTTAAATGATCTTTCTGTTCTTTCGAAATTTTTGGTAAATTATTCTGCCTTAAATAGTCCTCCATTTTTTCTAAATCCTCTTTTCGAGCTTTATATAAGTCTCTATAAAATTTTTTTCTAATTTCTTTTGGGTTATCTATTAATTTCTCCTCTACTTTTATCTTATTGATTATATTTTGGTCTTGTTTTTTTCCAATTGCCATGCCAAAAGCTTTCCTGGTTTATTTGCAAATTCCAATTTTTGTTTGTTTTATATATTTTATTTTCATTCTACTACTTAATTAATTAATGTTGAAAATTGGGTTTGCAGCATCTTAATATTTTGTTTTATCAATGTATTTCCAGGTTTCTTAGTTAACTCTTTTTCATTTTTAATGAGTTCAAGTATCTTTTTTTCTCCCTTAACTTTCTCTGAAACGTATTTTGTTGTATAAAGAAACCTTTCATTACTGCTTTACTAGTCTCCCACACCATATTTATATCAGTTTCCTTATTCAATTAATTCAAAATAACCTTTTATAGTTTTTTGGGCTTTTTGTAGAATCATTTAATTATCTAATAGGCCTTCATTCAATTTCCATCTAAATGTTGAATTCCCTTCACTTCTCAAATCCAATAATATTGCATTATGATCTGAGAGAGTCCTTGGCAATATCTTCACGTTCCCCACTCTTATTGTCAGTTCACTGGAGTCTATTCTTCCGGCAGACTGATTTGGCTCAGAGAAAAAAGTGTGCTGTCTTTCTAATCGATAGTTGAATCTCCAAATGTCTATTAGGTTCAAGCTTTCCATCAACTTAAAAAAAGCCATTGGGAGTTTCCCTTCTTTTGAGTATTCCTTTTCCTTATTGTTCTGCCCATTTCAAGGGAAACCACCCCATTCATATCCCCCATTACCATTATTTTCTGATCCATATAATCAAATCATTTTTCCTCCAAAGATTTGTAAAAATTCCGATTTCCTCTCATTTGGGGCATATATCCTCACAATTATTTATTTATTTTGCCTTGCAACTTTAACTGTACAGCTATCACTCTTCCCTCCTCTTCCATGAAGCTCTGCTGTGGGTCATATTTGTTTTTTATATACAATACTCCTCTTTTCTTAATTTTCTCCGATGTTAAAAATTCTCTTCCTAATCTTTTATTTATCAACCTTCTTTCATTTGTTAAACTACTGTACAGTTTACTTTAAACTTACTTTCTTGCAATTTGGATCAGCATTTTCAGGTTCTTCAGGAAGAAATCCCAGCGGTTCTCTTTTACAGATGAAGCCAAGTTCCTCTTCACAGAAATAATCTGCCCAATATCCACTCTGGAAATGGAAAAATAAAGAAATAAACATTTCAGTGAAGAAGTATACACTTCCTCATTTTCTGGATGCTTGATGTCTTTTGTGTTGATACAAAGCTTTCTATTGCATTATCTTGTCCTTAAAAAGCATTGACTAGTTGTACTATATCTAGCTATGAGGTGCCTTGAGCCCCTATCAGGGAAAAGGGTAGGATATAATATTAATATTAATATTAATATTAATATTAAATTCTGAAAACATTGCATTGGAGCGTAACCACCAATGAGTGGAAGTTTATCCAGCCACATGTTTGGCTTCTGATATTTCAACAAGCAATTCCCACCTAAGTACTGGCACAATCATATCTGTGAAACGCTTCCTCTTTTAAAAACAAAAATCAAAAGAATAAAGGTGACATTCTCAAGAAGATGGTTCTACATGTAGCAGAAGAGAAACAGCGCTGATTGTGACTAACATGAGATGGAATGGAAATTGCTGCCTCCTTGTAACATACAATTAGCTCTCAACAAGAGCAGTTGGTATGGGGAAGGGTGTCATGTGGAGATGCCCTCCTGACACCAGCACTGCGGCTTACTGGGACAGTAGGACAGACTGGGGTTGTGAAGGTGCACCACTATACACACAGGTCCTGCTATCAGAACGCTTGCTATCCACAAATTTTGTTATCAGAAATGAAGAATTAGTACCCAGACCTCGCTATGCCCACCGCAGATTCAGAAATCCAAGCAGCCGAAATCTTCTCCCTCCTTACTTGTTTGTGCATTTCTGGTCGGTGGCAACCTTTTTTTGGGCAGAAACCATGCAGGGAGGGAGAGAGATCGGACAAATCAGGGAGCAGGAGAGAGCAGACAAATCAGTCCCCCCCCTTTGCATCTCTTTTCCTGGTTGGCTGCAGCCATTTCAGGAAGAAACCATGGAGGGAGGGAGGAGAGTGATTGGACAGATTAAAACTATTCCCATAAGAAATGATGTAACTTGTCAACTTGTTGTGTGAATGCTCGCCTAACAAATTCCTGGGAATGCATTGTGTTCGGAAAGCAGGACCTGGGTGTATTTGATCTTTCACACAAAACTGAATCCAAGGAAATACATCTTTGTTGGGGGTTCCGTGTTTTTTACCTCCCCATTCATAATGACACAGGCACTTTGCTCATCATTTATGTGTGCGGGTTTTCCTTTCTGCCACTTGGTGAGTCTCACTGTAGAACCATCACTCCATTCATAATACTTCGGAATCTTCTGGTCATTCAGTCCTATCCAGAGAAGATCTGTTGACTCTAAGAACACAAATGCATCTTGTTTATTTGCTCACAGACTTTAATTGCAATAAACCCAGGTGTTTCACAGGATCCTATTATTATTAAATTTGTAAACCACTAGGGATAAAGAAAGCTGATCGCCAAAGAATTGATGCTTTTGAATTATGGTGCTGGAGAAGGCTCTTGAGAGTCCCATGGACTGCAAGAAGATCAAACCTCTCCATTCTGAAGGAAATCAGCCCTGAGTGCTCACTGGAAGGACAGATCGTGAAGCTGAGGCTCCAATACTTTGGCCACCTCATGAGAAGAGAAGACTCCCTGGAAAAGACCCTGATGTTGGGAAAGATGGAGGGCACAAGGAGAAGGGGACGACAGAGGATGAGATGGTTGGATAGTGTTCTCAAAGCTACCAGCATGAGTTTGACCAAACTACGGGAGGCAGTGGAAGACAGGAGTGCCTGGCGTGCTCTGGTCCATGGGGTCATGAAGAGTCGGACACGACTAAACAACTAAACAACAACAAGGAATGATGGAAGTTGTAGTCCAGAACCAGAAACAGCTGGAGACCTAGGTTTGGTGAAGTTTGGTGAAGGCTGTAATAGTGCCATATCTCACATTTGGGTCTCATGTTCAATACAGCAGAGTGGTGCTTTTTCTCCCCAGGGTGGGAGACTCAGTAACATTCCCTTCTTGCATGTGGTAACAAAAACACAAAACAAAAAACTCTCTCTCTTAATCTCACATATATAGCAGATACCAGAAGAACCAAACTTTCTAGATGTACTTACGGTAGCCAAGCTGAGATATGACAAAGCTGTATTCTTCAATGCTGTGAATACTTATTAAATCTCCATCTTCTTCTCTGCAGGACCATAACGCATTCTTCCATGTCTTAAGGTCTCTTTTAAGGCAGTAACAGTGACCTGCAAATGCAGCCCAGCCATCTGGACATTTAATTGGTTTCAAGCCATCTAAAAAGAGATCAAAATTAAGATAGCATGACTGGAGGATTTTTTAAAAGAAGAAAGTGTGTTATGATATTAGGATGTCATAGTCTCAATTTCTTAATTTATGTATATAAAAAATATCAGAGGAAATTCTGACAATCAATATTAACAAGGCAGAGTAGCCAGTTCTTTACCATGAGGATATTATTGTCAATAGGATTACCAACAATTATTGTATTCAAATACATTTATTTCACTTATGGGAATGTGGGATTTGCTGTGTAACTCAACAACAGATGGGAGTGCTACCTGTTAAGTTTAATAATACAGTTGATAACTTATTCTTAGCTAATGGCAATATATCCTGAGCAGAGGAGGAATGGTGGAGACCGCCTCCCCAGCCTGACCTTTCTAGAGAAGATGACAGTTCAGAATTACAACAGGGGTTTGAGGGAGGCCACAGCTCAGAGGCAGATGAGGGGGAAAGTTGGGGAAAAATGGGAGAGGAGGAGGAGGCAGAGCCGGAGCAGCAGCTGGCTGATACGTTGTCACTAGAAAGCATTCCAGACCCACCATCTACCAGAACCCAGTAAACCTTAAATACAGGAGAGCAAAGGGCGCGAAGACAAATGGCCCTAAGCAGCTACCGTAGGGGTGGTGGTGCTGTTGACGAATGAGGAAGTGGGAGTGAGGGGGTGTGTGGAGATTTACTTGGGACAACGTCATTATTCCAAGAGGCTGCATTCCCAAGCCTCTCTCTGTGAATATTGAATGAAAAAGCAGACGGTAAGAACTTTTTCTTGTCTTATCCGTTCCTGGCAACCTGCTGTGGGGGTTGGTTCCTCTGCTGCCTGACATCAGTAAAGTGTTCTATATTGCATATACTGCTACAAACAGCAAAACCTCCACTGCTAGAGATAAGATTTTTAAAAATGTAATATTGCCATTGGCAAACTCCACAACTTATGACATAATGAAATATATGTGACCTTCATTCCCAGGTTAGCATCCTACCTGAAGGAATAAAAGAAACATCTAATGAAGAGTTTTCTTTCTTGCAAATGTATCCAAGTTTCTGATGACACTTATCATTCTCCCAATTGCCATTATTAGACAGCATTGATCCACATAATTTTTCTGTTTCTGGTGATGGGCTCCCTTTAAGAAAGAGTGAGAGAAACAATCATTATCTGTGCCCTGTGTTAACATAGTAACACTGTATTTATCATTCATTTGGAGGCTCTGCATTTTTAGGAGCTCTGCTAAAAAGTAGCTCATAATGTTTTAAATATAAATGCATGTTATTTGTTTTCCTGTTTGCAGAAGTGTTTATCTCTCAAGAGAAAATAGTATTCTTGGAATATCTATACAAGAAACTACAGGGACAAAACACTAAAACACGGGAGAAATAATATATATATTACGATTCAGATAGAATAATATATATATTACGAGTCACTCACCTGGAGCCCAGTTTAAATATCTGAAAGGACGATCACCAACCCACTGCCATCCACTCTCGGCATCAAAGCTGATCAGACCAATCCAGTAGGCAGCAGTCATACTATTTATTAATCCTATTCAATGAAAAGAAAATCAGTTGTCTTGTATTATGTAGCTATGGGATCCGTAGTTATGAAGCTGGGTGGGAAGGAAGCAAAATTAAACAACAACAAAAGTCGCTTCTAGGGTGGCAGCTTTTATTCCAGTATAGCTAAATATTAAGCAGAAATTAATATGATGAAACATTTCATCTAGTATACAGATGCTATGTTTTATTAGATTTAATCAATTAATTTCTGCTTCTACTGTTGTCAAAGACACAGAGGACCTGCTAGGAGATCTGGTAACCATGAATGCAAAGAATAATCTGCAGTGGGATCATTTGAAATGGATGACATTCAAATTAATTCTGCTGGGAGTAAGGGTACTTATTATGTTTATGAAATTGCTCCCTATAGTTGAGACAATATTGATTATGTAGCAAAATATTATTAGAACTGATCACTTCTTTAGGTGTGCTTTATTGTGTTCTACCTGTCAGGTACGCTTGTTCATGTAAACTGGTGATGCTCAGTAATTCTGCATTCTGTTGCCGGCAACTTTTTCTTGCTTGGTACCATGTTAGAGCTGAGCGGGAATTGATCTGGTAGAGATTCCCTGTCCAATGGTTTTTGGTCCAGAAGAATTCATCATCTGTAAGCATTGTTAACACTAGTGTCAAATTATAAAATCACAAATGGCAAAGCTAAATCTGCAAGTGAGATAAACCTGATTAATCAAGATACCACTTTTCCAGAGGATACCCAAATCATATAGAGCAGCACCCTGGGCCTCCCTCCATAATAATGTGGCTTCCGAAGCCCCATTTGCAATATTCAAGCATTAGGTGGTGATATCTTCAGGCGCAGCAACTTAAGCACATCAATTTCTATTTACGCTTCCTGGAACCCTGTGTGCAAAGAGGACTTCAGCTTTCAGGTTAGTTTACATGAGTTGGCTTTATCCCTGTAGACATTCACACCTAATGCATGGATGTATATACAACTCTACCCTACCCACTGCATGAGTCACCACTGGCCAGATCCCAAAACAGGAAGGACCAGACACACTCATCTTTAACACACCATCACACACAGAGACCATTGTTCCACATAGAAACAAAGGCATATATTTCATTTTAGTAGCTCTACTCAAATTGTACCTTCTGGTTCCCTCTCTGCTTTGGTCTTCTTACCTAAGAGAAAGGATCTGCAGCTGCATGGTTCATACAGCATCAAAACTCTTTCAGCTGTTCCCCACTGAACAGCTGAGGGTTGGGAGAAGACCAAGGGACAAATGGAACCTGGCTGCCCCGCTTCTGCTCTAGACCTTGATTTTGTCTTGAACTGAACTACATCATCATCTCAATCCCTTTCAAGTTAAGAAGTGCAGACCTGATCCTGTATGGAGCTCTGGCATTCTTGATATTTATTTTACTCTCACTTTTAGGGGAAAGTTCCCCCCACCCTCATCTTCTGCTTATGTTGCACAATCAGTAAAACAGAGGCAATAATGACTATTTTCCTTTCTATGTGTAGGAGGAACATTCCTCTAAGCAGCTCATACATGATGGCAAAGTAAGGGCCTGGCTTATTCTTATATGTTGTACTCCCCATGATTTTTTTAAAAAAATTAAAACTGTATATTATAAATAAACAAACTCGGTTTTACCTTTTACTGGACAATGTCCGCTTAAAGAGTCTTTAGTCACCTCTGTGCAACTGGCTTCCATCTTTTAAAAATTAAAGCTAAGAGTCTAGGGCCCCAGCTGACTCCCCAAAATCTGACCTCTTCTCTGTTGGCAGCCGTGCAGTAATCCCATGAAAACAATACAAAGAAGGTCAATGTGCAGGTAAACTACAAGCCCTGCCTTACACCTATTCAATGTGTCAAATGCCAAGGTGTAAGTGCATCCTGAAAATTGCAGGTATGCAACTGAAAAAAATGCAAAAGCCTATTTGCAAGGGACAGAAGTCTGCCAAGACATTTCTCCCTCTGCTTTGATCTTCTTGCAGCAGGGGAAAGACCTGCAATTGCACACTTTGGAGAATATCAAAATCCTTTTCCATCTAAGCTGCTCCCCACTGAACAGCTGATTGGCTCAAAGGAGATGAGAGGGCCAGAGGAAAACTGGCTGTACCCTGCATACAGCAGTTTGCCACCTCTACTGTGGACCTTGCTTTTGGCTTGATGTCTGTTCCTTTCAATTGAAGAAGTGTGAGCCTGATCCTGTAAGGGGACCCTGACGTTACTGACAATTCATTTTGTTCTGATTCACAGGAGAAAGATCCCTCTCCCCATTTTCTTCTTAAGTTGCACAACCTGTAGAACAGATGCAATAATGACTAGTTCCCTTTTCTCTTTGTTAGGAGGGACATTCCTCTAAGCAACAAATGCACAATGGCAAAGGCTCAAACAAACCCTTTTTGTTTACCTTTCACTGGACAATATCCGGTTAAAGAGTCTCTATCCACATCTGCAGTTGTTCCGCACCAAAGTCGCCCATGTTCATCATTGTCTCTTATGCACTGAGCATACAATTCATTCCGATACTTGAATGGAAACATACAGGGGGCTCCAAAAGAATTGCCTTCTAAGGTATACAGAGCTAAAAGAAAATTGAATCGATGCAATGATGAAATAATTTGTTATGAGATAAGAACAGAAGTAGATAAGCAGAAGAGATGAAGACAAAGTCCTCAGTACAGAATGCCAGATATACTCAGATGCATATGTTGACTTTCTGTGTGGACAGGCTTCCCCGTTGACATTAACTGGGTTTTGAACATTCATTCTGTTGCATGAATGCACATGTGCAACTTCCCTTTTAATTGAAGTGGATCATCAGTCCCTGGTGTCCCCAGGAAAGGTTGGGAAAGACTTCTGAATGAAACCCTGGAGAGCTGCTGACAATACAATGTGGATAAGCAAAAGTTTTGACATGGTACAAAGTATCTTGCTGTCTTCCTAAGACTTTTTGAAGTAGGCTGCATGGTATGCACACTTAAACTCTGGTGCCCATCATGAAATTTCTACACAGGAGTAGAGTTGCGAAATAAACAGAAAGCTACCAACCACCCAGTGTTGGTAAATCTGGCCCCTTGTTGCAATGCAAAGGAAGTGAAAGCATTTCCTGCTCAGGCAAATGGAACTAGTGGAACCAATGAAACAAATGGAACTAATAGAAATTGAATTGATACTGTTGGGCTATATTTCTATCCTTGCATGTCCCCCCACCCCGGTAATTCTTACAGTTTTAAAACATCATTTAAACATCTATTGGAAAGGGTGCATATGTCTACTGAGGAAGGAGAGATTCAGCAATTTTTGATTTTAAAAAATCATCATAAGATTTTAGTATGAATTTCTCCTAATACACACATTTTTATATGCAGTTTTGACTAATGCACTTTTTTTTGCAATTTCCCTTACATAATGCATTTTGTATGTTATTTCCACAAATATATTCTTTTTTTAATGCACTTTCCTATTAGATCCCTTTTTGCGAATACTCAGAGAACAATATTGAAAAAATTTAGATAACTGCGAATTTTGAAGGGTAGCTGTGTTTCAGTTTTCGTATTGCTTTTCAAAAGTTCAGATGTGCTGGATTCAGCTTTAAATGCAAACTGAATAGAATTTCACACACACACCATCGCTACCCTTGAACCTACAGGTCTACAGCCCAGAGACCCCAGTCCTGGTAGCAGCATTTTGTGTTTCAAGTGTTGGGCCCTCCAAGACCAAAAAATAAAGTCATCCACTTCTAATATGACATGAAAGCTTTCTTAGTACAGTACTTGAATTTGGCTGGATGCAGATTATCACTACAGTGGTACCTCGGGTTACATATGCTTCAGGTTACAGACTCTGCTAACCCAGAAATAGTACCTCGGGTTAAGAACTTTGCTTCAGGATGAGAACAGAAATCGTGCTCTGGCAGCGCGGCGGCAGCAGGAGGCCCAATTAGCTAAAGTGGTGCTTCAGGTTAAGAACAGTTTCAGGTTAAGAACGGACCTCCGGAACGAATTAAGTACTTAACCCGAGATACCACTGTACTTTGTTAAAGGAAAGAGTAAGATGCTAGTGTGTGTGTGTGTGTGTGTGTGTTAGAGAGATATAGAAAGAGATGGTCAGAGAGATAAAGAGGCTGGGCTGAGACATTTATGTCATAACCATGACAGAAACAAACAGGGCTAAACAGCTGCTCTCCCTTTGCTCTGGTCCTGATGAAAACTGGACTCCCATGACTGCTACAAGATGGGTTTTCTTTGGATATGTTTTGAAGTTATGTGGTTAGCACCATGTCTATGTCAGCCTTGACCATCTGATCATCTAGAGAAAGAGGAATTTGAATTTTACCTTCATAGGCCTTAGAGCACAGGCTGTCTTTTGTTCCATAGATCTTCCAGGTACTCTTGCTGGTGGCTACTTTAGAAAGTATAAGACGACTTTTTTGGCCACCTTCGGGATTTAAAAACAAATCCCCCTGTTCGAGTGCAAGGAGGCTCTCATTTCTGCATTCCCATTTCTGAAGTTCACTCGTTTCATTACAGGGGGAGAGGGTGAGTGCAACCAGGTTTGACTTGGAAGGCACTGCCAGGCATAACTTCACTCCCATGTTCAGAACCTGGTCGTCGGAAACCCACTTGAAATGTTGCCACTCATTATCCTCATCGCAGTTGTCCACAATGATGGAACCAGATTTCTGGGATTGTATACAGAGCTTGAGGTTTTCATTATATATCAGAAAGCTGTCACTATCTGCAAAATCAAGAGAGGAAGAATAGGAAACTAGGGAGGAAGTTCCACATACTTTCCAATATCTCAACCACTGGTAGAATGGTAATACCAGGATTCAGAATAAGAGGCAGTAATATTGAAAGAGAAAAGGGAGAAATGCCTTTCAGGTTAATACTGTACTTTATTTTCATGATCCAGTACAGTGCCTTATTATTCAGTGGTCAATAACCTATTCCATTTATAAGTCACTAATTTTGATTCTTTGTGGCAGATATAATTTGCAGCTTATTTTATTCTAAATACTATGCTATTGTTGTTGGCAAGGGACGCGGGTGGCGCTGTGGGTTAAACCACAGAGCCTAGGACTTGCGGATCAGAAGGTCGGCGGTTCAAATCCCCGCGATGGGGTGAGCTCCTGTTGCTCGGTCCCTGCTCCTGCCCACCTAGCAGTTCAAAAGCACGTCCAAGTGCAAGTAGATAAATAGGTACCGCTCTGGCGGGAAGGTAAATGGCATTTCTGTGCGCTGCTCTGGTTCGCCAGAAGCGGCTTAGTCATGCTGGCCACATGACCCGGAAGCTGTTTGCTGGCTTCCTCAGCCAATAAAGCGAGATGAGCACCGCAACCCCAGAGTCGGCCACGACTGGACCTAATGGTCAGGGGTCCCTTTACCTTTACCTATTGTTGTTGGCATCTATTTTTAAGCGACATTTCATTTTCATGGTGAGGGTTTTTTTTTTAAAAAAAAATTATAAATAAAACTTCTAAAAACCCTCAACCATGCCAACAGAAATATTTTTATGTTATATTTCTTTAATGTGTTTGAAGGACAAAGTAGGCATGTGTGAGATCTGAAATTGGTTCCCTTAACATCTTTCTATTTTGTTAAAATCACAGTGCTGGGGCCAACCTGGTGTACAGATAAGGGAAGAGTGAGTTGATCCTTTCCCTCTCTGATGCCAATTCCATCCGAAACCCCAACAATTTAACTGTGCAGGGAAAAACATATGACCCTTGTATTGTGCCATATATTTTCATTTAGGTAAAGGTGACCAATGTTTTGGGTCATCTGCTTTAAAAAAAGAAAACATATGGTGAACAACTGATATATTATTGCTTTAGTTAATTAAAAGAATTTCTGTACCACCTTTTTGCTTGAAACTAATCTAGAGGTGAATTACAAATAAAGACAACAGCAACCCTAAAAGCAATATAATACAAAAACAAAGCATGACTAATCCTTGATTCATTAAAACTGGTATCAACAGTAAGGAGTATGAATTGAGCAATTGGTTATCTAACATATCTAGAAAATAAAACTACATAGGTTAATAGACCATCATCTACATGATTAAAGAACTCCAGCCACTTCAAAAAACGATTCTTCTATTGAAGTATAGCTAACAATATGGTGATTTCCCTTCCTGAGAAAGAGGCTCCAAAGGGCTGTAACCAGTGTTGTCCTTCACACTGAAGGAAAGCTCATTGATCCAGTGGAGCCCTCCATTAGCCGAATGGGGAGGACCCCAACACTCTTGGGGGATCTTTGGCACATGGGGGTGGGAGGGAGATACAAGGGGAGTGAGAAATGGCAAACATTGTCACTTTCCCTATTTCATTGATGGAAGGTTCCACTAGATCAAATAGCTTTGTGTCAGTGCAAAGGATACCCTTGATATATAAACCAGATGCTTTTTTAAGATGTACATGCAGGTGTTGGATATATTGCTTGTGTAATATTGTTAGATCAAAAAATATTTATCTTATATTTACAATTTATTTCTGTATCGTGCAAAAATAAGTAACAGGGAAAAGACTAACTTCTATACAGGTAAAGAAGTAAATTCTTTATTTCCACAATAGAACACAAATAAATAAATTGTATTCAAAACTATGTTAGCCATTGATTTATTGTAATAACTTCCACACCTTTTTATGGTTATAAACAATAAAAATGTTAAACCAATTAACCTTGAATCTAACATTTCATGTATTTAACTTCCTAGCTGTACAACATTAACTTTCTGAAGATGATTTAAATTTCACCAGATAAAATTATGTGAAAGATGCAGCTCCACTTATTGCTAAGGTAGCAATGGTGATGGAAGTGAAGAAGAGCTTACCTGATACCTGAAAAGCCGGCTGTATGAGGAGCAAGAGATTTAGGAGCCAAAGGGAAGACATTGGCCACAACCAAACCTATCACACCACTTCCATGGAAATAAGACAAATCAGAGTTTGCTGCTTTTCAAGAACTTCATAAATGAGTCAGGCAGAATGAAATTTTCACTTCTGTGTTTGACATGAAATTCACTGTAGTAGTACAAACGGATTGCAATGTGTGTGTGCTGACACAGACACACACACTCACAGATTTTTGCTAACCCATCAGCTTCCACAGAAAAGATCTATTTTTGCATGTCATCTGTGGGATATTTAGATTCATTTCTCATCACTTAGGCTGGTACTTAGGCTCTCTCTTACACACACACACACACACACACACACACACTTTTGCTAACCAGCTTCCATGGAAAAGATCTATTTCTGCAGAAAACCCATGAGTTATTTAGTTATTTCATAGAATCATAGAGTTGGAAGAGACCACAAGGGCCATCAAGTCCAACCCCCTGCCAAGCAGGAAACACCATCAGAGCACTCCTGACATATGGTTGTCAAGCCTCTGCTTAAAGACCTCCAAAGAAGGAGACTCCACCACACTCCTTGGCAGCAAATTCCACTGTCGAACAGCTCTTACTGTCAGGAAGTTCTTCCTAATGTTTAGGTGGAATCTTCTTTCTTGTAGTTTGGATCCATTGCTCCGTGTCCGCTTCTCTGGAGCAGCAGAAAACAACCTTTCTCCCTCCTCTATGTGACATCCTTTTATATATTTGAACATGGCTATCATATCACCCCTTAACCTCCTCTTCTCCAGGCTAAACATGCCCAGCTCCCTTAGCCGTTCCTCATAAGGCATCGTTTCCAGGCCTTTGACCATTTTGGTTGCCCTCCTCTGCACACGTTCCAGTTTGTCAGTGTCCTTCTTGAATTGTGACACAACTCCACAAGGTAACAAAACAAGGTAACAGTACATAGTGCTAAGGAAGGATGTACATAGGAGATCCTCATTGATAACTATGCTGCTTTTAAGCCATGGCCAAGCTCTGAGAGAGCCGCTAGCTGGAGGTCTGATTCTGGCCTCAGGAAATGAAGATCAAAAGGACCAGAGGCAGATCAAAAGGATATCAATCGTCACTAGCCATAATGGCTATGCTCTGCCTCCAAAGTTGGAGGCAATAATGTTCTGAACACTATGTTAAGTATAATTGTTTGATTGATGCTGAAATGGAGAATGTCCGTGTGTATTGCTGAAAAGGTTTAACATGGGGAAATTCCACTAGAGTATTCTAAGTGCTCTCTGAGCTCCTAAATGAGTTGGATCCTTGATTGAGAGGGAGCAACTGTGTGGCTACAGTGAAGACCTTACAGTGATTGTAGACAATGTTCATGTGTTTACTGGAGTCCTTTCAATTTTGTGTCAGTGATGTAAATCAGCTTATACAGTGGTACCTCTGGTTACGTACTTAATTCGTTCCGGAGGTCCGTTGTTAACCTGAAACTGTTCTTAACCTGAAGCATCGCTTTAGCTAATGGGGCCTCCCGCTGCTGCCGTGAAATTTCTGTTCTCATCCTGAAGCAAAGTTCTTAACCTGAGGTACTATTTCTGGGTTAGTGGAGTCTGTAACCTGAAGCTTATGTAACCCAAGGTACCACTGTATATGGAAAATCCTTGCATTTGCAATTTAGATAAAAACACTGTTAATGGTTCATATTAAATAATTATATTGTTCCAGTGCTCACTTCCTCCTGTAGAGGAAACACTGTGAAAGGAGACTGTCAGGGAGTGGACTGAGGAGGAATAGTGGGAGCCCCTTACTTTTCTGAACCTTTCCAAGGGCAGAAGTATTGATTTAGAACAGTGGTTTGTAGAAGGGCATAGTCCAGAGTGGAAAAGCTGGGAAATATTGGGTGAGGAGCAGCTAGAAGAGAAAACACCAGGAGAGAGAGACAGCTGGTAGATTCAGTGTCCTTGGAAAGCATTCCTGACTCCTCCTTTGCCTAAGACTAGATGGGCTCTGAGAATGATAGAACAGAAAGCACGACGGCAACAAGATCAGATTACCCGACATAGGAATGATGTAGATTAATGGGGACAGAGGGAAAACCTTTACTGGGAACAATGCATTTTTTAAGCATGCTATGCCTTCCTTTGTATCTTGCTGTGATTATTAAAGAACTTGTCTGGTAAGAACGCTCCTTTCTTTTGATCCGCTTAATTACTGCCACCGGGGGAGGGATCTGATTCCAAGAAGCCTGCCAGAGAAGTAATCTAGTCTTGATCCATAACAGGAGTGGGGAACATTTTTCAGACTGAGAGCCATATTCTGTTCTAGGAGACTTTCAAAGGACCACATACCAGTGGGTGGAGCAGCAAATGTTAATTTCACACTTCAATTATACATTCTAAAATACTCAAGGGGAAGGGGGTACAAAACAGGGCCAGTGGCTGGGAAGTGTGTGTGGCTGGGGGAAAGATCCAAGTGTCACTTAGGGGTTCTGGAGGACCACAGTCCCTAGGCCTGAGGTTCCCCATCCCTATAGTCTTGGTTGTCAGATGTAAGCCAAGCAAGTTGAAGTGTTGGCTGGGAATAACGTCTCTTGTCATGGACTTCCATCATAAGCAGATAGCCAACAACAGCCCTTTGAGGCCCAGAAGTTTCCTCATGACTGGGAAGGGGAGAGAAACACCACCCTCTTTTGTCTTTAGTTTTCCCCCCTCTCTGTTGCTATGGACAAGGGTTGTGTGCTGGGCCTGGGGGTAACCTGAGTAAAGCGGTCCTGGTCCGGTCCTGAATCCAAGGGTTCCATGAGGAGTGAGTCCGACAGGGCCAAGGCAGGACACGAGGCAGGAAACCAGGCAAGGCCAGGCACAGGATGACAAACAGGTTCTAGCAAACAGCAACGTTGCTCGCGCAACCTGGGGCAGGGTCCAGCAGCCTTTTATCTCTGTCAGGGTAACGGCTGGTCCTGATCACCTCCCTGTCTCGCCCGAAGGCGAGCACTCCTCCTGCGAGTACTCAGGTCTCTCCTTCTCCCAGACCTCTCAGTCTCTGCTGCTGGGGAGATGTCGGCAGGTTACTAGACTCAGAGGCCGCCTCAGCCTCTCCTGACCCAACTGGTAGTGGGGCAGCTGTGATTGCCCAGCTGGAGGCAACAAGGTAATCCCCGCATCTGGAGCCAGGGCAGGTTCAGGCCCCTGACTCGGCCCAGCTGGTGCTTGTTGCAGGGGAACCTGTGCCGACTGGGGCTCTTCAGAATCAGGCCCCAGACTAGGTGCAGCTGCTGCCTGAGGCAAAGGATCCGGTGTGGACTGAGACTCCTCTGGCTCCGAACCCAAACCCGAGTCCCAGGCCATCACAGGTTGGATGGTTCTTGCTGTGGATGCTTGTTGTTAAGTTGCTCAAAAGTCACAGAGTGAGAATCTGTTGGCACAGTGTGTAAGAGAGACAATGTATGTGAGACCCCATTTTATTCCTATGGTCATTAACTCATGATATTGTTATGATTTAAGTGAGTTTAAAAGGCTAAACTGCACATTCTCACCATATTATTTCCCTCCCCCCACCAGGGTTTACGAAATGCTTTGTAGTAGTAGTAGTAGTAGTAGTAGCAGCATTAGTAGTTTTGCTATAAGATGTCAGGAATGTAGAAGCAACTGTAAAGAATGGAATGGTGGGAGAAAGGTTTATTCTGTGCTTCACAACGGAAGTAATCCAAATAACCATCTGAATGGAGGATCCTGGAAAATCATTAAGTTCAGTGTCTAAAACGACCAAGCTCTTGCCCCACTGCCTCTCTGTATTCCACATACAGAGGCCAACTGGAATGGCAGTCAAATCTTCCTTCAACACTGGCAATGAAACAGCAGCTTGCACTGTGCCTGACACAACAGGCTAGTTTAGTGAGGCCAGGACAGGCCATGTAGCACACACAGCTCTGTCTTCCACTAAGGGACAATGGTCATGGGGCTTAGGATGCAGAGGCAGAAGTTTGATGCCACTGCCCCTGAACAACTGTCACCTTAGTTTAATGGTGGAGCTGGCTCTGATCCCAATGTCTACTTCACATTACAGGAAATACAGACATTGGAGGGTGGTGAACAACTGTGTAGCAAATCCCCCTTCCTATGAAAAGAGCCCTGCTTGGTTAGACCAAGGGCCTATTTAGTCCTATTTGCATAGTGGCCAACTAGATCCTGTGAGAAGCCTACAAGGGGGATGCAATTGCAGTGGTCCCCAGCAGCTCTTAATCAGACACATACACTTTCTGATACTACAGGTAATATCATCATCATGGCTTCTCATTGACCACCTTCTCCTCCATCGATAGCACCCTCTGTAGCATCTGATTCAGCACACTTTGTGTTCTCTTGGCAGCATGAAGCAGTATGGGGTTTTTTTTTGTTTGTTTTTCGTCTTCACCAGCAACAACCAATGCACATTTCTAGAGAAGGAAATAACACCAGGAAGCAAATAAAGAGCAACATGTTCAAAGGAGATTGGGGGACATGGGGCAGCTGTTCTGTTTGGTAAGCACTGCCTAGTTCCTTCCTCAATCACATCTGGAAAATGTGGATCAACCGCAAAGTATAATGAGTTCAAAAGAATTGAGAAGTGAAAGTCATCTGCGATGTTATGAAGTTTCCTAAATATTTTTTAAAAGTGGTCAAATGATTCCCCCCCCCATTCAAATTGCTGAGTTGGTGCCTGGTTAGCCCATTACCAGATAATTCAGAAGAATTTATAAAAGAATGTTTGTGTGCAGCCCCAAACCATGAAGAAATGTGGCTCTCTGGGAAAGATGGTTCGTCACCCATGAGATGCAGGACTGTTCTGTAAAATTGTTGTGCATACTGATGCTTCACATAGTTAGTAGTTATGTATTCATTAACTTTGTAGATGTTTGTAGTTTCCAGACAAGACTTAAAGACCCACAGAGAGTCCACTGCAGTAATCCAATCTTGAAGACTAGCAGACCCTCCAAGTGTCCCTATTTTCCACAGACGTCCCTGGTTTAGAGAAGCTGTCCTGGTTTCTGATTTGATCCCAGAATGTCCTGCTTTTCCTTAGGATGTCCCTATTTTCATTGGAGACATGTTGGAGGGTATGGAGTTATCGGACCCCTGAGCTGTCTGAAGGCAATCCTGTATAGGGAAGGGTCCCCCCTTAATGTTTTATTATGTTGTGC